CCGTGAAACCTTGAAATTAGATTGTATTTTGTCTCCATTTTTTTTTTCTTTTTTTTGGGGGGGGGGGGGGCATTTGGAAACATACCATTCTCTATCCATCTCTGTAATGCAGGAAAAATTTCCAGACTTGGTGCTTCCTAAAGCAAAATTTCCCTCTTTGAAACAATTATAGAAACATATTTATAAACCAAATATAGCAAAACTAAACTATGATTTTCTCTCTCAAAATCATTATTTCTAGGTGATGGATGGGTACTAAATGTGGACAAACTAATGTGGCAGCAGCTAAATTTTACAAAAAAAGAAAGACGTTTATGGCATTCAACATGTGTTACAAATCAGAACGATGTCCTGATTTTTGGAGGATGCTGTAACAATATTCTGAGTGATGATGAACCTAGTGTAAGTATGCTTGGATTTTTTATATGTTCACAAGTCAGATAATTTAGAAGTAGGGCATTGCTAGTAATTTTGTCTTATTTTCTTTTAAATTGTTAATTAAAGAGCATAGACAGTTGATAACTGGAAACGTGAAAACATTTGCAAATAGTTTGTCACACAGAGAGAGATATTGAGACAGTAAAGAAAATCTGCATCATAACCATTCCCATGCAAATTCTCAAGTATATATACCACTTTTACAAAATTATTTAAAGAATAGCCTCTACTGAGTCTACTGTATTGTTAATGTGTGTATTTTGTTCTTACATTTCTCTACAACATATGTACATTACATTTTTAATTGAAGATACACATTTTTCAGTTGTTAACAAATAGCTTGCTGGTATTCAGGCTCACACCTAAGTCCCTTTTTAGGTAAGAATTTCTTAGGTTCAATGCAATCATAAGGATGTATGTACACTCCCCGTTTTCAAATAAAAAATCTTGCCGTCACATATTGCATAGCAAGTATTAATCTTATAACTTCAGTTTACATAACGTGTAACAGTTACCATTAATTTGGCATATTATTTGTTTTATTCAGACTTTCACTTGATGCCACATTCAAATACAGGGCACAGTTGTATTGTGAATGGACCTCTTTGCCAAAACCAATATTTGAACTGCTTGAGGCGAAAGCAAGTGCCAAAGATGACTCTACACAAAAATATGACAGACAGCAGGGACATGGTGTCTGTGTCTTATCTTGACCACCTGGTACTTGCAGCAGCCTCTACTGGAGAAATAAATCTTTGAAAGTCCTTCTGAAAGTGTGTGAAAGTTGTTGATATTTGAGTTAAAACCATTTTGATGAGAGAGTTTTCTATCTGGATCACACAAATAAGATTTACTGTGTATTAAGATGATGGATTGAAACAATTTGCATACATGTTTGTTTGTTAATACTATTATTACTAACCATTATTTAAGACTGTGATTAAAGCAAGAAGAAAAAATAGAAGTGCAGTATACTTCAGTAGTGAGAGACTTGTTTGTGGGAATATGTAACCAGTGAAATAGAAAAGCACCCTTTTAGAGTCACTGTTGTAACTTCATACAACATATAATGTACATGAACAATACGTAATACTATGTAAAAAATGAAACATTTACATTTGTTAAATGCTTGGCATGATGTACATGTAAATCTTGTATAATATACACTAGTGTTGAAATATCTGTACAACACTGGTATTAAATAAAATGTAATTATCAGAACAAAATTGTGAACTAAATAGTTGGTAAGAAACTATGAAAGACGTACTGAGTAATCACAATAACTGCTGAAAAGTCAACCATGTTTGTGGATTCACATTAAGATGCCAGTCTAAACTAGTCAAAGTCAAGAACAATGTTTTAGTCATCTACTTTCTACTGTACATGTAGTCATGTAAATCAATAAATGGGTTTACATTCTTTTGTTATTTGTTTCAAGTCCTACTTATGAGTGTAGCATATTGTTTGGATTGATGATAGAAAAAAGTTATGAAGCCCTGTTTTTTTTTGTTTTTTTTGGTCACATGATAAAAACGCTGTTCTCTACAAATTTTGAAGTAAATGTCTTTTGATTCTTTGTAACTACTTAAATAACAAAAGGAAGTTTTATTTCCAACATCCAAACCTACTTTTTGGGGTGGAATACATTTCAAAACTGCAATAAATGTCTCCATCAGTTCTGACTATAAGGGAAGGAAATTTAATTATTATCTGACCCAAGAAGATATAGTACGCAATTTAAAACTTACAATAGTTTATTTCTAAAACATGAGATAGGGGTGCTCCCTATGAAAAACTTGGTGAGTTTGACTAATCTAATTTTACTTTATGTATTTGAAATAAATTCTTGGGGTGTTGTCAAATACTGGTAGTTGAGCTGCGTTGCTCATTTGCCCCGATAAACGTCTTTCAAAAATATAAATCTTTTGATACTTACTCAATGTATTTATCATATACTTGAAAAAATCCACCTTCTTGCGGTGTGATTTAATTCCTAAAGCTAAGAACGAGATATGCGTATAATTTACCAACTTTTAAAGATGGAATGGAATGCCACAGCTGCTCTTTGTCTCCGCTAGCACAATCACGATAAACATTCCAAGTGTATGACGTACAATATCACGTGACCATACAGTACTTATTTTCGACTGTCTTCAACTTGTTGTGGAGTAACTGGAAGCGGTACCCGACATTCTAAAGCGTGTTTACTGGTCATCAAACAAGAAATCAGGAAAGGTAAGTAGATAATTATAACTCAGTTTTATCATGGGAAAGGTCCTTAATTTGAATTCGACTTTAAACAACTTGGTTTGTTCCAAACGTCAACTGCTTTAATACTTGCCGTTGTTGCTTCAAATCTAATCATATCTCGAGTTCCCAAACCAAATGACAATTTAGCAATGACAGCTGACTACTGTGTGTTAGTTAGTATATTAAAACTGCATTATACCATGGGGACGATTTCTTGTCTTATACTAATTTTTTAAAGTCATTGAATAAGGACATTGTAAAATAAAATGACAAATTACATTTGTTTTTTTACTGTACTGTTGCAAGTGCAACTGCAAGTTCAGATGTGTGTTTAGTTAGTTTTCGATAGTGGAGATCCGGAAAAAAATTGTTTTCAAGTTTGAAGTATTTAAACATATCGACATATCCAAAGCTAGTGAGTGTAATATCAGTATAACTTGGAACTGTCTTCAAGTCTGTTAAGTGTCAGTGCTATTTGAATTAATTTATAATCATATTTTAATGTCCGACTCATACACTGTCAGAATATTGAAAGTTTTAAATAAGAAGATTCTGTGACAGTGGGATGTGTAATTGTTATTTTAGTACCAAATTTCAATATCCTTTCCTGTTTTATTGATATTGGGATGTTTCTTAATAACAAGATTTCTACATAATAGGAAGTGCACATATTAAAAACAGGAAATTAAGAAGTGTCACTTTTAGGGATTGCAGATATATTTTGTGGTTGTTGGTGATGTATGTGATAATGCCTAGTTCAGCCCAACAAGCTGAGCCCAAAAGCACCAAATGATTATAAAGTCTTCAGTCTCTTCATTTTTATCAGAACCCTTTTGGAAACTTATACATTCTGTTGATTGTTTTATAGTCCTGTCACATCTTTCATTTCCCTTTTACTAAATTGGAAGCTAGGTTTTTGTTGATTTGTTAATGCTCTGCAACTTAAAACTTCCAAAAACTTATTGCTTTATGAGTTTATATTTTGAAAGTGATCTCCAATGTTCATGAAACAAAAACCTTCCAATATGCTTCTTGGCCTATAAAAGAAAAAGAATGTGACATTGTTGAAGGAAAGTGTCAGCCTTAGCCTGTTCAACACTCATATGTTATTTGAAGAGATATTTTCTGTACAGCAGTGAGCGTGCTGTATGGGGTGTTGAATTTATTTTCTATAGGGGTGTGCTGTACAACTTGTCAAATAAAGTTTGCAAACGTGTGTGATTCATATGGACGTTTCAGTTACTTATGGACATTGCTAACTCATCATCTGTGTAAGACGGTACTTAGCATAGCCATTCATACATGTTAGAATAGTTAGTCACTGTTGAGAGATGTGAAAAGTTTTATAGACCTCTTCTTAATGTTTTAACATCATTCAATTTATTTGATATCAAGTTTTAGTACAGAAGTGGCATAACACAAGAAAAACATCCCTTTCTGGTAAAAAAAAATACAGAATTATAAATAGAAAATGTGATGTATGGGTTTTCAGATGTTGTAATGCACATGCTTATATGAATGCATCTTGTATGATTTTTACTGTCTTCGCATGTGCAGCTTAAAAATGATAAAATAGAAATTTACTCCCAAAGGACAGTATGATGAATGCTTATACATGGGAACTGGTGTGGTATGTGGTTATTTTGATATGTATCTTTGTGATTGCCCCTGGATAATTCTGGCTCTTCTTTGTCTCCCCTAAAGCTAGGGACATATATTAAGACGTCTCTGACTTTATCAGACCAGATAGTTTTTTTCCCTGACCCTCTAACCTTGATGTCACAACTTATTTTGGATTTAAACAAGATGGATATTTTCTGATGAAAATCTTGAGAGTTTAATGGGATTTATTTATCTATTTAGAATTTCAGTGGGAAAATGTCTAACATAGGAGTAACCAACCAAAGAAGCTTTTAGAATGAAATCTCCAATGATTATAAATACTACCTCCATTACACTTTTTTAAGTTGAATGAAAAATAATATTATTGTATGGTTTGACTTTTTTGTTTGAGATATCTTGGTGAATTGCACAGTTAGCAGATTTGTAATTTTAGAATTCCTGTTTATCGCTTACTGCAGCACACATATTTAGCAAACACCGTAATCTTCAATTTTCTTTGTGAAACTTATACCACCACAAGAAGTTTGGCAGTTTGAGTTTTGAAATTGGTGATATTTTAAACTGACAATAAGTTGACTGTCCCTTATTTATCTGAGTAATTTGTTCAGGAAATTTCAGGTAAAAACATGATCAGTCATTGTGTACTATTTTGCAGTTGATATTTATTAATTTATTAAGAATGAGATGCCCAAAGATTATATCCTTGAGGTATTTGTACGATTCCTGGTGGAATTCTTGATACCATACCCTCTTTGCACACGTGTTTCTCTCATGTCGTGTTTCTCTCATGTCGTTTCAGTGTAATCTTGCTGTGTTCTGGCTGATGAGAAAGAAAACAGATGTACATTTGTATCTTAAGAATAGAGGGGAATTCCATCACAAAAAAAGACACGTGAAGAGGTAAATAGGTATGTTTGTCAGTCCTTAAGGTGCATTATATCTTGGTTCCTTAGCTGTTGCATAACCTAGATGGGTAAGTACAAAAGCATTATGTATTGGTTGAAATTTCTAGTGGGGGGGGGGGGGGGTCATTATTTGGAGCAACAACATTCAAAGCACCTCAGTCCCATACCATTTGTATCCTCCACTTTTCTGCCACTTCACACATATTACTTAGACCATTACTGACAGGACATATAGATATGGAGACATTGTAGAACTGGACTTTGGTGTATGTATTTAGAGAGTGCAAAAGATAGAGAAGATAGTGGCACAACATGATCCCCCATTTCCTTGGATATACATGTTCCTTGGATATACTTGAAGCATGAGAGAGAGAGAGATGCTGAGCTTGGCCATGGGAAGTTAATGTCTGTTGGGTTCAGTTTTGTAGTAACATCTCAGTGTAGGTCAAATACTAAGAAGGATATTTATGACCATTTGAAGATAAAACCCTTCAAAATAGAGTAAATTGTCAAAGGGTTTAGGTCAGAAAATTGCTACAGCATTTAGTGCTGATATAAAAAGGGACTGATCCTGTAATATGTCACTAAAAGGAAATAAAAGCCAGCAGTCGAAGGAAATACAACCGGAATCATATTAATTGATTGTTCACTTATATACAACCTGAAAGCATGGCTATATTTTGATGTCCTTCAAGTTAAATACATAGATTTACAATTGCACATCCACAGTCATATTCTTTTGTACTGAATATTCCACATGTAGTACAGAGGTGTTGTGCAGCATAATCCAGGTGAAAATGTATGTGTTTCACCCTGAATTTCATAACTTGATATTAGAGCCTTATCAGCATTTGTGTGACACTAAATATTTAAGTCACAGTGAATTGGTTTTGATCTTAATACCCTTTCAATTTCTGTCTGACCCTGACCCTGAGAGTTTTAGAGTGTTGGGACCACTTTCTTAAAGTCCTATGGATAACTGTGATATTTGAGTTTCTTGTATATCCATTTCTTGTATATATATCCATGGTTTTATCTTGGTGACCAAGCCAAGTCGTTCATAATGGGTGGAGTTTCCTGTAGGCTGGTCAGTTCATCAAGACAAGAATAAGAGTTAATTATAAGGTTGATAGGACAGGCTTGCAGCAGGTACATGTATGTTTTATCAGTATTTGTTTGCATTGTGATTTATGCACTAGCCTGTATACTGTTGAATAGTATTCTAGATAACCCGCATTTATGTGTGTCATCTTGAGTTAAGAATTATACCAAAAATTGCACGGTTCTTATTTGATTTGTGTTTATATATGTAATGATTCTGAAGTCTTTGTATGTACTTGTATTGAATATTTCTGTGGTGTAACTGTAGAAAATAAGTCAGATGCTACACACTTCATCTCATACAGTCTTGTGAAGTGTATGTATAAGTTTGTTTTCAAGTAGGTTCATATTCCTTTAGCATTCCATGTTCCTCAGTTTAACAAGAATTAGAGGCAATGATCCAAGTTCTCATATCATTTTTTATCACTAAATGATACAATTTGATTTTATCTCCTTTGGATAATATTGCTGAGGGAGCTAAAACTACAACATTTTTTGAATCCAGGTTTAAAACCTCAAAAAAAAAAAAAAAAAAGGAAAAAAAAAGGAAAAGCATACATGAAAAGAATCAGAAGTTTTCAGTGCTCAGTGATCTGTTAAATACTGTATAAGGTATTATTAGCCACCTTTGCTGGTTGTTCGCATGACTCATACTTTATCCTTTATTCTTTGTGTTACTCTTGAAATTTAACACCCATGTTATTAAAAAACAATAACATCAAACTTATTTGTTTAAACTATTTTTGTACACATAGCTAGAAAGGTTAAACCCTTTTTGGATATGCCATCCTTTACCTTGGTCACAGCTTCTATTAGTGCAATAGACTGTATTAAGAGTGTTATCAGTTTATGGTAAGGTATAGGTTCATTGTCCTATAAAATGAGCAGCCTGATGATTAAAAATCTGGCAAATTACCAGACCACAAACTAGAGACCAGACTGTAACTATTGTGATGACCAATCAATATATATTGGATGACCTTTTTTGGCTAACCCCAATTCACTGTTTAAGCCTGGTGTTTCGTACATGGTAAATATTTGCCAGACAAAAATGTTTGTGTCTTTAAGGGTAAGAACCCTTTACTGAAAAAGACAGATACTCCATATTAAAGTGATATATTTATGTAGCATATTGACAACAGCCAAATTAAGGTCCATAGTTTTCTTAGCACCTGTGGTATGTATTGATTTGGTTTTCAAATATCCTTGATGTATTTGTCAATAGTTGGTATTTGGCTTTAAACTTAGCAAACCATTGATATTGGTAACGGATCTTGTATTTGAACTGCTGGGCCATAAGCCAGGAGAGGTGACATAAGCCATTTTGTTGTGACCTTGTGACTAAAGGACTTGTGTTGAGGTCAGAATGTTCACAGGGGGTTATCATCTACCTGAGTTATCCATAATCTACTCAGTACATACCAGGTCCATTAGATATGGTCAGTTTGCTGACCATATGTGATAGGAGGATGGACACTGTGGGTTATAATGGTTAATAGGTCTTTTCACTTCCTGAGTCTTAATCATAGGTGTTGTGTTTTTACCATGACATATCCTATCCGGCATTTCTCAAGAACAGAAGTTAATTTTGAATTACACTTGGTTTTTAAAGGTAAGTTTTCATTGATGTTCCAGAATCCAGTGCAGTTGGAAATGTTTTTTTTTTTTTGTATTGACTGAGACCAAATCCTTTTGAATTAAATGCTCAGCATCTCTGCAGGTACTGAGGAAGGTGATTTTTACTTAGAAATTATACAAATCATCCTACTTTAAAATTTGAGACGAGTTGTTAATAAAGATGATATTAGTTAGGGGCAGCCCAACCTTTTGAAGAATATTAACTTTGTAACCGATGTCATGGAAGACCTATTACTTCCCACCAGGCACTTGCAAAATAATTCCAAATCAATCACTGGCGTCTCTTTCCTTCTCCTGTGTCTGTATTTTCTTCACAGCTAGAAGCACGTTTCTGCAGCAGTGTCATTGATCAAAATCTTCGACTGGCCTGTTTTTGCCTGGAGATAGTTTGAAGTTATTGATGGAAGGCTGTAATTGGTGCATGTGTTTGTTCCACTGCATGGCCCTGGGGTATTGTGGTTTAAAATAGCAGCATGGGAATATACAGCATTAGTAGACTAATGGTCTTTGATCAAGAATTTTTTCATTTTTTTCTTTTATTTCTGATATTGTTAAGCTAAAGCTTTTGTATCATGGAATAATTGTGGAAATGACTTTGAGAGCTTTGTGTGAATAGATTATTTCTAAGAAGGGGAACCTTTTTTGAAAATTTATAGCTGACATGTAGGATTGGCAACCAAGAATGATAATGTTTTTTTTTTTAATTAGCCCAGAGTCCAGACCAAGATACCATATAAGATCATAATTATCTTGAAGACATGCAATTAGTTTATCAGTAGAACAGAAAAATATTGCAATTGTATCAAGGGAACAAATATTGAGGGAGACATTTTAGCAAGCACAGCAGTAATTTTTTTTATGTATATTTTTTCATTTGGTTCATTATTTTCATAAGAAAATAAGTCATTTGGCCAATCAGTGCATTTAAAGGCTTGTTGACTGTTGATATATGTTGTGGTTTTTTAACTTTTGCTGTATAAGGCAATAGGAGGGATTCATTTTACACATTATAATGTTTTAGAATGGCAGTTTACAAGTCTTTCAGCAGCCCCTGTGTTTATAGGGAAGGAAGTCCAATCTATATGGCAGGCAATAACATTAGCTTCTTTTCACTCTCACTCCAAATAACAACACTGGAACACAAAGCAGTTCACTCATAGAGTCTGTGTTGTATTTCAAAACAACAGCGCTGGTGTTTTGTGTGGCTTTTGTGCCTGCTGTGAACGGTCTGCATTGCACGGAGGCTGATTTGGACTCAACGTTATATTCGCCTTTTGTGCGTGCTCGATTTCTGTGGCGAGAGCTCCTCAGTAGACTGGGCAAGGCTTCAATAAGGTGAGAGTTGAGTACACAGCAGAGGAGCAAAAGGGGAGCTAGGCCAGCAACAGTCCTGTGTGCTCTCCCCCCTCCAGTACAATAACACAACAAAGGCGTTCCATTCAAATGCGGGACTGTTAACTTGTGTGCGTCTGGAGGATCACTGTCTCCTCAGTCACACGGCACAGAGCAGAGGTGACACCAATGCAAATACTGCACCAGGTAGGTTAGACTAGGCTTGCTGGTTGGAAGTTCATAGGTGCATTATTATCCAGATCCTTCCAGCTTCCCTCATGCAGAAATTCACAACCTATAATTTGACCATATGGGTAAAACTCTGATGGTTAAAGATGGCTTGTGATTGTGAAGGGATAGAGAGGGGTTAAAGTCACCGAGGTAGGTTACCTGCAAGATTGTTAGGTGAGGGGGGATTGTAATATAAATGTGGCTTACTATTTAGGTCAATTGACTTTTACCGCATTACATCTAGATGTGTGGTAGGAGTATCTATTGTTGTAAAATTGCATGATATAGTGTTGTATTGTCAACCCACACTATAGATCAGCTGAGCTCTTGTTGGTGCACAGTGTGAGATAGCATAGCGCAGTGTGTGAAAGTTTTCCCATTAGCTCCCAGAGCTAGACAAGCCCAGGCTAGGTGCCAGTGTTAAAGAAGAATAATTTACACCTGGGCATATATATGCACTAAATACTGGGGGAAAAACGGTGCGAAAAATTGAGAAAACTATATGATTACATTCCCACTTGACTTGTTTTATGGCTAGACCACTATGTCCACCTGTGGCTGTAGTGTTTACTGGTCAATATTGACCGTTTTTAAGACATTTGTTACAACCTTCTAAATTGTCATTTCATCTGCATTAATCATGACATCTGCTGTAGTTTTTAGATTGGAAAGCAATATATATTTAATGATCAGAACAGTAATTTAGGTTTTACAAAGAAAAATGTTCAGCCTAGATCTATACATAATAGACCGTTCTCCAGTTCAATAGCTATGTGTGTATGTCAGCATATGAACTCAATAAATTATGGACCTCCATTTTCTTACATTGCTGTAGTATTATATATAAGAGGAAAGATTTCCTGCTGACTGGAGATTTCATTTCCACTGTGTTAGATAAAATCTAGAGACAGCTCAGAAGAAGAGTTTCCCCTATCAAAGATAGTCACCGATTCAGGGACAATGTGGATGGGTGGATTTTAATTAATCACATTAGAATGAAACAAAGACATTGATTAAAGGTGACTACAGAGCTTGGAATGTATTTTGAGCTTTTAACTTGGGTATTAAGTTGGTAACATAGCCTAGCCTCTGTACAATTTAAAATCTGTGGTCCAGGTGGACATTTCATAGGTGAACATCATTATGATGATAGAGCAGGTAATTTTCTCTGTGGAGTCTTCTCCACATTTATACAAGTAAAAAGAGATCAATCTTTGTATAATACCCAGCTGTGTAATAAGCATTATATTATTGTCAATTTATTAAACATGTGGTTTTTCTATCCATTAATTACTATACAAGGTGGTGCCAGGTAAGAAACATAGTAATTATTAAAAATGGTTGCACAAGTGTAGATAAAAGTGCATGCACATATGCAGATATTTTAAACTGTTTCGGACATCATTGGTCATTGAATAAGCAAGCTGAAGCATTTGTGAATGTATGTCCGTAAATATAAGTGTGAGCGATTGAGAAATGGAGCTTTCCCAGCTAGAGAAGATAAGTGACTCAGTCCATGATGTGTCTTTAATGGGGCATGGCCACTTAAGACCAGGTTGATGCCTATTTAGAATAACATTGATTTTACCTTTTCTGATAATTTGCTTAGGAACCAGAGAAGAGTTGCTGAAACGAACCAGCTCTGATAACTCAGCTGCATGTTATTGTTGTTTGTCTGTGTCAGAAGCAATTCCAGGGAATAGGTGGTAGAAGAAATATGATATGTGTCCTATACTTTTCAGAAGGATCATCTTTTCTGCCAGGGATATTGAACCTGACAATTTGATAAGGTGGAAGGTGGTGTAGTTCGGAGAGGTTGGCCATCTCTAGTTGAATTAGGCTACAAATCTGAGGCAGGATTGAATTTTGAGGTTTGCTTTTTTTTTTTTTTTTTGGTGGGCAAATTGACAGCCAGGCATGCTAAGATCAAAAATATATTTTTGTTTTCTTCTTACTTGTGTTTGAATTGTAGACATACTATAAAAAATCCACTTAGTTGTTGAATGGATTTGAACAACAAACAAACTTTAAATCTGAATGAACAACCATAATAAGAAGCTAACTTATTACATTTTCTTTTGTCTTTTCCTCCTTGCTTGTCCTGGATTATTTTTTTTTTCTTTGCTGTCACATTATTTATGATACATAGCTCGGAATATGTGTGTTGTTGCAGTGTGCCACTGCCTTCCCACGGAGAAAATGCTTCCTCTCAGGAGACGCATACATTGTAGATATACTAAAAGATAATCAATTGTGGGAAATCAAGTTAAAAAATGAAAGCTGTCAGTGTTACTCACATCTGTGGCTGGTCGTGATGTGCAATACAGTAGGCACATATTGGATGATCCAGGCTGCTTGCAAGGGGATTTAGTATAAGGAGTCTGTTGTGTTGCCACAAGAGTGATGTGAAGAGAGGAACACACCCATGTTTTTAACACCAGTACCAGATGGTCAGCTTTAAAACATGCAACAGAGAAGTAGATCAGTGTGAAGCAATACAGTATATAAGCCATTTAAAAGAATTTTGATGAGATTGTATAAAAAAAGGTGCGTGGCGTTTTTATCCTTTTTCTTCTTAATCATTTTCAAGTACGGCAAGACCTGTCTGAAGGGTTGTATGAATTAATTGTATCTTTAGATTACTCTAAACCCTTGAGATAAACAGAGTGAAAAAGAGGCAGTTGACAATACAGTTATATGTATTTCCAGTGGTTTACCTCAAACTCCCATTTATCATGAATGCTGCATTCTTCTGTCAGTATAAAACTATAATGTCTGTATCAGTGCTATTAAGTGGTTTAAAAGATTGCTTCCAGGATTGTTTGACGGGAAATAATGATACAAAGAGTTTAAAAAAGTCAGCAAGTTTCTGATGATATAAATAACCAAGTGCAGTGTTGCAAATGAGTGAAGGAGAAAAATGAATTGCTTTGATGTTCTGGGAATGGAAGAGTCTTTATGGTATTGGAGGTTGTTAAAAGAAAATACCATGGAGAGTTGAAACATTTGTGGATTTGAGATTGATTTAAAATAAGGTGCATTTTATGCAGTGGTGTATCTAAACTATGATTCTCAAATGTAGACCTTGAGAGAGAGATCCTGAACACTCTCATACTTCTGTGTAAAAAAGATCTTAAAATGTTTTATTGGTCTGAAAAGGAAACATTCTGAAAGTTCAGGTATGTCCACTGAAAGTATTAGTTTCCTGGCAGTAAGTACATGCTGACTGAGATGGGCATGCTGAGCAGACAGACTGGAGGTCCATTTACTCACAGTGATTGGAATATATCAAAATGAAATACTGTTAAGCAGCATAAAAAAAGACTGCATAGTTATTGCTCTTTATGATTATCATGAAATGTCATGTGGTTATTCAAAAATGATATGATATCAAAAGGTAAATAGATGAGGCATGTGCAAAGCGTTACCTGTTAAGAGTCTTGTTAGAGAAACAACCTGGATCACAAGCAGTCTTTAGTATGGTGTCTAAACCATACTTAATATAACTAGATTAAAGGAACAAGGTGTTCCCCAAATGTCAGGAGTATAATCAGGAGCATCTGTTCCCTATGTGTGTTTGTATACAAACTGCCAAGACTTCAGTGTGTTAGCTTATACTGTCTTATAATAAGTATCTGTCTGACATACAGCCTAGTCTCTTACCCCAGGTGGCCATGGGATGGGGATGTTACTAAGGGTGGGGGAGCTCCACGCTTATCTTGTTTACCTTCTACTTTCAAATGCCAGATGGCCTGGTTATGATTGGATAAATTATGAGGATAAGAGACGTTATATATAAATACATATATGATAAAATTGATTGGACTTGTAAACAAATGTTTATGTAAAATTTTTATTATTACTTGAATTTACTTCAATGTGGCTACTTTACCTTCTGAAAGAAATTGGATTGTGTGTGTGTGTGTATGTGTGTGTGCACGTGCAAGTGTGTAAACATGCCATTGCACGCATGTGTATGTGCAGGCTTTTTATTATTCAAATATGTGCATGTCTTTGTTTGTTGTTGCCCCTGTTTGTTGTTGCCCTTTGGAGAGAAAAGTTCTCAAAATCTCAAACTAATGTCTTGTCTCATTTTCTTTGGTGCTTTAATCATCACCTCCATTTATTTTCACTTCCATTTCCTTTAAATAGATATTACTTTTTTTGCCCCCCAAAAAAAAGGAAGTGTAAAAAAGAACAGACATTTGTGTGCTAAGATTACATTTATGTGTCTGCACATCCCAGTTTCATCTTTGACCTCCATCTGTAACCTTAGGCTCATATTACACTTAAAAGTCGGGAATATTCATAAAACAGCATTGCATGTTCACTGAGATTGCTTAGTCTGTTTTTATGCATCCTTAGGGGAAAATGCATCACTGATCCTTCAAGGGTTAATAGTCTCATTTTCATTGCTGGAAAGCCCTCTTGCCAATGCATGCGGCTTTTGTCTAATGCTAATTTTAAAAAATACAGCAGTCTGGCCTTTTTTTCCTCAATATCATTTACTTGCCTTTATCTTTGAACTTGATCTTCAGCAGCTGTGTATTCATAATTCATCCATAAATGATACTATTAATGTAGTTAATATTCAATAGCTTCTGTTGGTTGGCTGTTATACTTCCTATGATATTTGCACGGAAGGTTAATTATGGGCTTTGTTCGTTATTTTCCCAGTTGTAATACCAAGATTCTATGTGAACAGATGATGCATTTTGTAGTTTAGTTGCTTCTATTCTCGTTCCAGTTTCTCTACAGTAGAACAGATAGGTGGAGTCTGCCTGCTATAAATCTGGTTCTATAATCTGGGATATTGCACATGTGACTGTGATCTTACAAGTATCTGTATTCAAAAGTCCACTAATGGGAGAAAAGAGCTTAATGAATTGTAAATACTAATCTTAGTAATATACCTGAGATCTTCTGCATGTGTCTTGTTCTATATTATGTAACTTTCTATATTTTCAGACTGTTTCCTAAAATGAAGAAGAGGATTGGCTTGCCTGCTTTCTTGGTTATGCTCTAATTGGAGAACATGCTACATACATGGACTACTAGTACATGAGTTTAGAAGGATACCTTTGGTTCAGACAGAAAAAAGGGAAAAAAATGTAGAAAAAGAGAAGGTTGGAAAGATGGATGGATTTTTATTCTGCCATTTGTTGTTATACAGATTTTAATTCAAGAAGGTAGCAACAGCTGAGAAGCCCTTTTAGTGAATATTAAAAAAGGAAAAAAAAACAACTCTTGTACAATCGTGTTACTTGATTTTAACCATGGCCACTGAAAGCCAATTTTCACGAAATACTTCTGAACGAAGTAGTCAGCATATCCTGGGCTCTAACAAACGCCCAGACCCAGTGTTGGATTCGATAAGACAGAGAGCTTACCAGGGGGGAGGGGGTGGTATTGTGGGAGGGGTAGACTTCTACCCTCGCTCAGTGGGATCCCACAACACCTCTGGCGAAAGCAGTGCCAGCTCCACAGGTGAGAACCCCATACATTCATATAACAGGATGAATGGTACAGCTCATGATGATAGGCATCACATCCAAGACTCTTATAACACTGGCCCAGACACATTCCAGAGAGCTAAGGCAATAAGACCTGGGGTGTTGGACCATAGAAATTCATACAATGAAAAAATCCTGGCTAGTTATCATGGCCAAGGATTGTCGTTTCCTGGCCAGGTGAATGTAGGGGTAACCAGGCAGAAGCCTCTCCTTCAGCAGCATCACCAGGAACACAGCAGTCCTCACCGTATTAGCTATCATAGTGTGTCTGGGAATTCCTCTCTCAGTGGTACTTTATATAGAAGTAACAGCAGCCTGGATATAGACCAGGTAGATTATTCAGACCACCATCGCACAGGAGGGCACCATCAGAGTGCACTGAGAAGGAATTATGGGAGTGCAAATTCTCTAGACATTGTTGATGCAGGGAATGAGAGCTTCTTTGAAATGTTGAGTTCTTTTAGGCCTGAAAATTTTGATCAGAGGGCACCTGCACCTCCACAGATTCATGAGGTGCTAAGGGGTAAGTTGGATTTGACTACTCCCACTAAACAATTGTCTCAACAGCAACAACAGCAACAGCACCCTGGGGGAGCATCTTCCTCTAAGGTGGCTAATGGTTCAGTCCCAGTGGATCAGAAATCCCCAGAGAGGGCACAGAGTCCTACAGGGAAACTCCCTGCAGCCAGAAGTGTCACCAAAGAGAGAAAGCCAAGGGCAAAGTCTGTGTCAGGAGACGGAGCGGGACTATTTAGAAAGTTAAGAGGTACAAAAACCGATGTCGCCGAAACTGTAAGCAAGACTTCAGACTCTTCATCAGAGCTTGAGTATAGTACAGAGGAATACTTACGACGCAAAGCCTTGACGCATTATGACTGTCAGAGCGTTGGAGTTAATTTCGTTGAAGTGGTAAGGAGGAGGAATTCAATACGCAAAAGACGCAATACGACAACTGGGGCATCTGCTGCCTCTGCTCAGCGCCAGAACAAGGAGAAAGAAAATGGTGGCGATAAATCTGAAGAATCAGACAATGATGATTCTGATGATGGGGATGGACGGAGCAATGAACTGGTGCTTAGCTGCTCCTTCTTTCGCAATGAATTAGGTGGGGAGGAAGAGCGCATGATAAGCTTGACGCAGAGCACGGCACAAAGACGCGTCCAGCAGCTGCTAGGCAATCGCAATGTTAACTCCCATATGATGATGCGTCCCCCAGCCTGTAGTGGGATGGCCATTTTGGATGTTTCTAAGTTACCTGATGGTGAAACTGAACCATCAATCATGGCACACCGAGGATATATAATCGAACATTTAGACCATGGTGCTTTCTATTATAGAAACTTCTTCTATAACCAAGGTAAGTGTATTATTAGAAACTAAACCTCTCAGTTCCTTAATGTGGTCTTTGTGTCATTTTTTCTTCCTTGCTTTTATTGTTTTGTTGTTGTTGTTGTTTTTACATCCGCGTAGATAAGATGCCATGACATTGCATTAAGTTAGACTAAACTGTGTAGAGATGTACATTGAGAAACTTTTGTACATATATACTTATAGCATGGGTTTGAGCAATCCTTTGCATCTGCTTGATTCTATACTGTCACAAGACTGAGTGATGCTAAGTTCTAGTAATTCATGATAATGCTATTCACAAAATATGACCATCTTGCCATATAACCTCAACAAAGGTGGTTACGTTTTTGCCCTTGTTGGCAAACAACCTAGGTTTAAAAAATTATGGATGGATTTTGATAAAATTTTCAGTAGAGGTCAGAAATAAGCTAACATATAATTGGTTAGATTTTGGTGGGGATCATTTAATTAATTAATAAAAATGAGAATAGGTGGAGGTGTGCACTTTGGATGCTTTTCTGGCTATAGAATTTTCTAACATGTGTCTGATAATTTGCATCCAGACACCTTGGAGATTTCACATTAACTAGCTTGCCAAATCTTAGTAGGGACTAAAAATAAAAGACATTTAATGTTTCTTCCTTGAATTCTAGATGGTTAGTCAAAAATTGATTTTGCTTCAGCAAAATTATTCTAAAGTGAGTACATCAAAGATCCCTTCCTGACATGTTTATTCCTGCAAGCTTTTAATATGCTGATGCCAAATATGATCTGTGCTTACAGTCAAGGTTTCATGTCAGTATTTTTATCAGACTTAATGATGCACAAGGGTTTGCTGCTTAGCATTTCATCAAGATCTCTCTTAACAGGAAGAAAATTTAAGAGGCACCGCACAGTGTGAAATGTTCTCTCAAGTATTTCAATTTTGAAGCATTTCCAAGAGTTATGATATGAATACACTGTTGCTTCATTGATAAATATCATGCTGGTTTTAGGTTTTCCAAGATTTTTTTTCCTTACATGAAAGTCCATAAATGGAAGTATATTAAGTGATATAAGACATTATAGAGGTGCTTAGGATATATGGAAACTAAATGAGAAATACATGTACGTACAGAATGTATGTCTGAAGCTGCAGGAAAGATAGGCAAAAAGATAAGTTTTAACTGCCTGACATTCAACATAAGCCCCCCCCCCTCCCCCCAATGCATTGTCAATAACAAAAACAGATATTGTAATGTTATACCCAGAGCAATACAGTATATATCAGTTGTTTATATGAAATGACCATCTTAACTAGTAAATGTCCTTTAGTGTCAGACAGAAAAGAATACATTTGCAGTCATATGTCAAGATGTCGACCCAGTGTTCAGGTGGTAAAGATAAGACTTGAATTAAAGATCCTGGGAAGTAACTTGTATTAAGGCATAGCTGAGCCTGTTTACAAGCTGGGAAGCTAACCCAATAGACATGATCTTTTTTTAATGTGATGGGATATAAAAAAGAACCTATTGGAGATTACTGAGCCTGACAAAGGATCTAAAAAACCTTACACAGGTGGTATACACACTGACAGAGCATGTTAAATTCTAAAGCAGTAAGTCTGCTTTGATACAAATGAGATCTTAATGAGAAAACAAAATGATTTCATTATTAGTATAGATCTAAATCAACTGAAATGAGTCTTCATCTTTTGGGATATTAAAAAAATACTGATGACTTATTTGGTATTATTTCTGTGCTACATATTAAAATGCGGGCAAATTATGTCAGGTAACTCTCAGTTAATGTAAGGCCACAACCAGGTACAGTGAAATATTGCAAAGGATATATTTACATGCTAGGTAACCAAGTACAGTTCCTATACTCACAATAATAATTTGATAATGCCAAAGAGGAAGGATAAATGAAAAAAATGAAAAGAAGAGGCAGATAGTATATAGTAATTGGCAGCTCACGAACTGCGATCCATTACGTGGGAAGTGACTCTGTTGCCCCATTACCTTATCCATAATCAAACCTTAGATCATAAAATGAACAAAAATTTGTTATATGAATATAAAGTCTTAGCTAGTGATAAAAAACTCTTATTATAAAGACTGTACGAAAGTCATTCTGGTATGACCTGCACTAAGACTTGTTGGTTTTGAATACTAACATATGCATTGCATTTTAGGAAGGGCAATCAAAACTTAGGTAAATAAATTTCTTCCGCTGGTCAGGTGTTATTGATTAACCTGTATTAGAAGAAGATGCCATGAGCAGTGCCATAACATTGATCCCCACAAAGGCATACCTTTGCTAAGTTATGTCATGCCCTTGTGCACTGCAGGGCTGGTTTACCTGGGGTTTGCTGTTTTAAACTGCCTCAGTGGGTGGTGATTTGTGTGTCTTGGAAAGTACGAGAACAGTGGGCAATCAGTATGGAACACCTATCTGACATGGTAAACATCCACACACACACACACTCATTCACCCCTAACCACTTATTGTGCCTGGCCATTGTACAGGTGAGATATTAAGTCCAGTAAAACCACAAGTGCTTGAGATAGAGAAAGCTCTCAAGCTCTATTTAATGACTGACAACTGGGAAGTCTATTTCTTCCTACATGCAAAAGTTATAGATATACTTGTTCAAAATTCTATGAGTTATTTGGATGTGATGGCGTAAAGATTGCACGTTGTCAGCATTTCTTTTGTTGTGAGAGATTCATGGATGAGATTGTTATGATAGTATTGAAATAATAAAAAACAGATTTCACACCTTTGTGGTGAAGTATTCACTGACCCACCTGCCTGATTACACCTTGAAATTGCACTCACTGGTAAAATTACTATCAGAGGTCTCTAGAGCATAGTCTACACTATACACTATCCTTTAGACTGATTTAATGTTAGATGTGTTCAGCTCTAAATGTATATTGCATATCAAGTTTATTTAGAGGGACCAAATTGTCCATAAACTTACCATTCTTTTTCTGACACATGGTGGGATACATACATGATCTGGTTCAAATTTGGAGAGTGAAGTGAAAACACAGTCTCTTCTTTTGTCTTTGTGTTAAAAATCATACACTAAATAAAAATGAAATCTAAACACACCAATTTTTTATAAACAGTTCTTAAAACAGTAATGTTTTCCTTATTCACTTTCCACTGATTGCCCACATGAAGGTGCCCTATACTCCCAGAGGAATGAATGCTACTAAAAACAAGGTCAAACTGAACACACGCCCCTGTTCAGCCACCCTGAGACTCCTTAGTCCTAATAGATACTGCCCTCAGTTCCAATATGTATATATGGTCTCATATAAGGACTCAGATATGCAGGCTGCACTGTACTGGAACTGTCATTTTTGTCAGAATGTTGGGAAGTTACCTGTTAGGTGATAATATGTCAATCAAGGTAAGGTGATGGATTGGGACTTTGCATGTGAAGGGTCTGGGTTTAATGACTTAGGAAAATCGTTAAATACCTTGTCTACAATTTATACATGCTAGGCAGTGTATTTTGTTTTGTAAATACTGTAATACAAGTGTAATAATTATAGGATCCTTATCCTGTTATACTGATAACATGTGTGAATGAATTTAGAATCTGAATGTTTAGAGTTTTGTTAAATCTGGCATTGGGACTGTGTTAAACATATAGATATTTTGGATGGTTGGATTTACCTATTTGGCTAAATGACACATCCACTGAAAACTAAAATTTCAGTAAAGAAGTAACATTCATTGTCTTCTGTTTTCTCCTTTCAAACATTTTACTCTGTCCAGCTTACATTAGAAATAGGATAAGTGCCTTCTTCTAATTATTATTATTATTTAAAGAGATGCCACTCAGAAGGGAAACATTCCTGTAATCTCTCTCTACATGAGTTATTTTTTCTGGTGGGCTAGCTACCTGTAATATCAATGTTTGAACAACTGCAGGACATGTATCAGTGTTAGTGCAGGATAAGTGGCCACATAAAAGTCAAGCTTTCCCACATGTATTACAGCATCAGTTTTCATAATAAAGAGTTACCTGCTGTATAAGAACAACTTAGAAATATGTAAAAGATATTCATTAAGAAGTAGGAGTTGTTTGTTTACTGTGAAACCGGGTTTTAGGTTTTACAGCACTTATGTACAGCACTTAAACTCAAGTTTACATTAAACTGCAGTATTACGGAGAACTTTGTATTTATATCTGTTTTTATATTTAGCCTTTTGGTCGTAACCTCTTTTGCCTACCAAGGCATCACTTAGCATTCAGCTTTGCTGTGCATTCTACCTAATTTTTTCTTTTTTTTTTTTACATTATTTCTAAATTTATATCAATATCCATAGTAGCCATCTCCTCAACTTAGTGGCTGAAGAATGCCATTCTGGTCTCTATGCAGTAATCAATTAATTATTCATGGCACTGATGTAATTAATCACAACCTGTACAAGATTTGTTCTATCCATCAACCATTTGCAATAAGATTATAATTGCAGTTAATAAGGTNACACACACACTCATTCACCCCTAACCACTTATTGTGCCTGGCCATTGTACAGGTGAGATATTAAGTCCAGTAAAACCACAAGTGCTTGAGATAGAGAAAGTTCTCAAGCTCTCTTTAATGACTGACAACTGGGGAGTCTATTTCTTCCTACATGCAAGGGTTATAGATATACTTGTTCAGAATTCTATGAGTTATTTGGATGTGATGGCGTAAAGATTGCACGTTGTCAGCATTTCTTTTGTTGTGAGAGATTCATGGATGAGATTGTTATGATAGTATTGAAATAATAAAAAACAGATTTCACACCTTTGTGGTGAAGTATTCACTGACCCACCTGCCTGATTACACCTTGAAATTGCACTCACTGGTAAAATTACTATCAGAGGTCTCTAGAGCATAGTCTACACCATACACCATCCTTTAGATTGATTTAATGTTAGATGTGTTCAGCTCTTAATGTATATATGGCATATCAAGTTTATTTAGAGGGGCCAAATTGTCCATAAACTTACCATTCTTTTTCTGACACATGGTGGGATACATACATGATCTGGTTAAAATTGGGAGAGTGAAGTGAAAACACAGCCTTTTCCTTTGTCTTTGTGTTAAAAATCATACTCTTAATAAAAATGAAATCTAAACACACCAATTTTTTATAAACAGTTCTTAAAACAGTAATGTTTTCCTTATTCACTTTCCACTGATTGCCCACATGAAGGTGCCCTATACTCCCAGAGGAATGAATGCTACTAAAAACAAGGTCAAACTGAACACACGCCCCTGTTCAGCTACCCTGAGACTCCTTAGTCCTAATAGATACTGCCCTCAGTCACAGTATATGCATATGGTCTCATATAAGGACTCAGATATGCAGGGTGCATTGTACTGGAACTGTCATTTTTGTCAGAATGTTGGGAAGTTACCTGTTAGGTGATAATATGTCAATCAAGGTAAGGTGATGGATTGGGGCTTTGCATGTGAAGGGTCTGGGCTTAATGACTTAGAGAAATCGTTAAATTCCTTGTCTACAATTTACACATGCTAGGCAGTGTATTTTGTTTTGTAAATACTGTAATACAAGTGTAATAATTATAGGATCCTTATCCTGTTATACTGATAACATGTGTGAATGAATTTAGAATCTGAATGTTTAGAGTTTTTAGTTAAATCTGGCATTGGGACTGTGTTAAACATATAGATATTTTGGATGGTTGGATTTACCTATTTGGCTAAATGACCCATCCACTGAAAACTAAAATTTCAGTAAAGAAGTAACATTCATTGTCTTCTGTTTTCTCCTTTCAAACATTTTACTCTGTCCAGCTTACATTAGAAATAGGATAAGTGCCTTCTTCTAATTATTATTATTATTTAAAGAGATGCCACTCAGAAGGGAAACATTCCTGTAATCTCTCTCTACATGAGTTATTTTTTCTGGTGGGCTAGCTACCTGTAATATCAATGTTTGAACAACTGCAGGACATGTATCAATGTTAGTGCAGGATAAGTGGCCACATAAAAGTCAAGCTTTCCCACATGTATTACAGCATCAGTTTTCATAATAAAGAGTTACCTGCTGTATAAGAACAACTTAGAAATATGTAAAAGATATTCATTAAGAAGTAGGAGTTGTTTGTTTACTGTGAAACCGGGTTTTAGGTTTTACAGCACTTATGTACAGCACTTAAACTCAAGTTTACATTAAACTGCAGTATTACAGAGAACTTTGTATTTATATCTGTTTTTATATTTAGCCTTTTGGTCGTAACCTCTTTTGCCTACCAAGGCATCACTTAGCATTCAGCTTTGCTGTGCATTCTACCTAATTTTTTCTTTTTTTTTTTACATTATTTCTAAATTTATATCAATATCCATAGTAGCCATCTCCTCAACTTAGTGGCTGAAGAATGCCATTCTGGTCTCTATGCAGTAATCAATTAATTATTCATGGCACTGATGTAATTAATCACAACCTGTACAAGATTTGTTCTATCCATCAACCATTTGCAATAAGATTATAATTGCAGTTAATTGCATTAGCGATAATTATCTCCAGCCAGCTGTCAATCAGTCCAGTATTTTTGTCCGCCCAGATCCAATTCTGCCGAGATAAGATAATTGGGGACAAATGGCTGCCATTTGCCACTTTTGATCTGATTATGTGTTATATCATGGCTGGGTGACCACTTTATTGATTTTTGTCTGAAACTGATATATGAAAACAACATGATATCCCCATGCCATGCTGCACAGCATTACCCTAGAAGTGAGCTCATTTTGAGGCTGAAGCAAGGGGCCAACATGAAAACCAATTTCATTTGCAAGTCAAAAGCAATTTTCAGGACAAAGACCTTAGGAATCAGACTGCGGGTCTGCATTTTTCAGTTTTAAAATGGTTTATTTATATAGTGATTGAGTCAGCATTAGCATTGTGAAGATAAGTGTGTATTTGCTCAACTACAGTGCAATATTGCATTTGATTTTCTTGTAATATAACATCACATTGATAACTCAATTTTTTTACACTTTTTGAGTTTTTATAGCTAAAAATGTCAGATTTTATTCTCTCCCTTTTTTCAAAGTCATGCCTTGAAATTATGGGCTGTCAGGGTTGCAATGATATGCTTCGTCTCCTGCTGTAAAACCAGGGCTGGGAGGGGAAACACGTCAATGTAAATACTCTGTACAACAATAATTGCATTGTTCCTTGTGGCAGAAAGATAGTTGTTGTAGGTTAACCCAGGAACTGTGGGTGGAGTATGACACGAGGCATTGTTTGCTTCTATACAGATATCAGCCATCTGGCCCTGTATTTAAAAAAATGCTTAAAGAGGAAGCTCCTTGTTCATAGTCTGCCAAGTATTTAACCCTGTATATCTAGTTTAAAAGAGGGTAGCTTACATGCTTTATAGAATTTACTTATATGTTTCAGAGCTCTGTATATGTATGTATCCATAGAAGTAGAAAAAGGCTTTGTAATCTCCTACATATCTCTGACCTAGTATGTAGAAACTTAGATCTGACAATGTACTCATTCAGTATACAGACAAATGATCAAGGCTATGGGTCACCTTAGTTTCGGAGTACAGAATCTTATGCTATTCCCAGTTTTATGGATAGAGGAATAAAACTGTTAATACCCTAAATCTGAAAATAATTATACTTTTATTAATTAATATATGTATGTGTGCCTTAAAAAAAAAAGGCACCTGAAACTAAAGGCACCTACATAAGAGATGAAGATAACAAAAGTGTACAGGGAGAGAGACAGGTTAGTTTTATAATAAGGTGTTTAAGTGTGTAGTGGTTTGTTTCATGTCAAAGGTCAGGCATTTATGGACATTTAATGATGTCTGTTTCTGTCCCATACATGGTAACTGATATTTTGCCAGTTTGCTATTGACAGCCCCACCTCCTATAGGACCAGTGTGATGTTTTTTTCATCTACATCTGATACCATGTCTCCTTTATTAGCTCTTATGTGCTTGATACTTTATACATTTACTCCACATGCATTTTATATACTGTGCAAAATCATACACCAGATATTTCACATATTTGCTGTACATCTCAGTAATATACAAACAATGTATCTACCACGCACTCTTTACATCCTTTGGTGCCAGCTAGGCCATGTATTGGGTTTACCTAGATATGTATAACTGAATTCATGCACCATGTAGCCTGTATGCCCTTGTGTGCTGGACTTTTCACATATTTGCTGAACAAAGGTTTGAATTGCCACACAGCCCATAAAGTATCATAAGTTCTGATATCATATGCCAGATATTGCATAAACCTGCACCATGCATTAAATATGTCATTAGCCTGCAAAGTACACAGGTTAGTTGAAAAAAGCTTGTAAGTAGAAATGAATTGCATCAGTGCATAGATGGCATCAGTCCCTCAATTACTTATTTATACAGTGGAGATTGAGTCATTGTTCAACAACTTGTTGCTTAAATACTTAATTACAACTCTTAAGATGTGTAAATCAATAGTATATCTCATCATGTTCAATAGAATTATAAAAAGAGGGGGGACATTTTTGGGTCAGAAACACTGTATTATACTTTTCACATTTATAAAACAAAATACACAAATATCAGCATTCATGGAATACACATTGATGTCAAATAGATATTATACAAAATTTATCAACTTCCAGTTGTCAAATTGTATTGTTCTGTTTTTCAGAACATCAGAACTACTTTGGGGTGGATGAGAATCTAGGTCCTGTGGCCCTCAGTATTAAACGTGAGCGAGCTGATCATAGAGAGAGCAAGGGTGAGGGAGGACAGCCCTACCAGTACAGGGTGATAGCAAGAACCAGTGAGGTGAGTTACCTATGTTTATTAGTCCTTGGTACCATGATTAAATTAAACTTTACCAATCCTGAAACTGAAGGAGACTGCTACATCCAGGGCAAAACATGTAGGTTTGACAACCCTTCTTGTAATAAAAAATAGGGTATTGATGTATAAAACATTGAAAATTTTACCAAAACTTTTTCTGAAAATGGGACCAGCAAGGTGTTGCTGTACAAAAGGTAAGTTAATAAGGTACAGCTCTGTTTATATAAACTAGAACATTTGTGTGTTTATAACATATGTGTTGAGTTTCTTAAACATCCTTTTTTGACCCCAGCCTTGCTGTTCCTTTAACAAGGATTGGCTGTCTTTATCTAAATTAGAAAATTAAATCCAGGTTGAAAGAATTTTTCTTAATATAGACCCAGCATGGAATTCCCTGGCTTAAAGTTAGCTTATGTTTATTATCTTGACTCTGTGAGGTAGGTTTATTTAGGAGAACATCAACTAATTTAGTCATTATAGTGTGGAATCTGAAATGCCTCCCTGGCAACTCCCAACTATTTTTCTTGGCAGCACAGCAGTTCTGCTTATATGGGAGACCATGAAAAAATGCTCATTAATTTGAAATCAAGAAGAAACCCTTAATGGATAAATAGCTATGAAACTTCCTAGTGCAAAACTGAGTATTTTTGTGTTCAGAGTAAATGTTTTAAGATGCAAATAGAAAACACAAAAATCCCTTCTCATTTTTTTTTCAGTCAACTACACTAAGAATTACGATTCATAGCTATGAAACTTACAAAACTGAATACTTTAAAATACTGAGTGTTTTGATATTCTGAGTAAATATTAAGGATGCAAATAGAAAATTGTCACAATGTCCTTTCTTATTTTGTTACATTTTTAGTTAACTACTCTAAGGACAAAACTCTTCATCCTCGCATCTTTTGTTACTTATTCAGTTAACTACACTAAGGATAACAATCTTGGAGGATGCCATTCCGTCATCCTCACGTCTTAGCAGTTCTCGTGGTCTGCCCATCAAGGAGGTGCTGGAATATGTGTGCCCCGAGATTCAGCTGTCTTGTCTACGCCAGGCTGTGCCCGGGAACAAGGCTGCTGAGCAGCTCATGAAGCTGGATGAACAGGGGGTGAGTGATATATTACTGAAATTATAAAGGGGACTGCCCACTTGTCCCTGGTTTCTAGAGCATCCAAAAACTTAGTTTTCAACCATTAGTATAGGATTCTGTTCAGGCCTGTGGTCAGGGGTGGGGGTAGGGGTGGGTTGGGTTTTATAAAGACTGGCTGTGAGAAGACTTCAAACCCACAATCAATCTGATAATGAATACTACACTGTGGGGAAACTTTGTATGTACTTAAGCTGCTGATGTATTTTCATTAGACAATATTTTATGCTGTATTTGTAAGAGAGAGAGAGAAACAGTTATACTGTTAGTTATTTAACTATGATATGTGTAGCTAAAGATAGTAAAATGCTGTTTTGGGGGGCATTTCTTTTAATTAAATTTGAAAAACCATCTTTTAAAGTCCATGGAAATAATAATGAAAATAAGTGTATTCTTTGAATATGCATTCCTCAAAAGGAATAATCATGTATTTGCTATATTTCAGATCACAAAAACTTACAAAATTGGTGTTATGTATTGCAAAGCAGGTCAGTCTACAGAAGAAGAGCTCTACAATAATGGTAAGTAATTAGACAAGGTCAACAATAGTGCTGTGTGCTCCTAGAACATCCTAGTTATGTATGCTGTTCTGGTTAAAAGAAAGGAAAAAAGTTTCTAATCTGTTGAGTTACACATTTATGCATTTCATGAAAGCATCACTTGCTTTGTCATATGCATAAAAAAAAATAATTGTTATTATAACCCCATAGTTGAAAAGAATTTACTACTTAACAACAGTAGGATCAAAATTAAGACTTCTATAGTTTTAACTATTTATTCAAAAAGCTATATGTGCTTACAGCAATTTTTGATTTACTATTTGTAACATGTTTTACAGAATACGCAGGACCAGCTTTTGATGAATTCTTAGACTGCATTGGACAGAGAGTGCGCTTAAAAGGATTTGAGAAATACAGGGCTGGTTTGGATAACAAAAGTAAGTACCAGTTCTAAAGTTATGGTGAACAAAAGTATGGAGTGCCAGGTCTAAAAACATACATCTATCCTCAATCCTTCTCTGATTATGAGCAGGTATATCGACATGTTTGCATATATTGTTGAAGAGTCAAAGTCATTTCTTTCTCTCTTTCTCTCCACTCTCTATCCTAACTGTAGATTGATTTATAATGTTGTTTTCAGGCAAATGAGGGCCGTTAGCATTTTTCTTTTTCCCCCAAGGAGGTATTCTCTGGCACTGAACTCTATCAATGGACCTAAAGTAATTGCATTACCGTCATTGCTAGACATCTCATTCCCTTTCACATAACAGGACGCTGAATTTATAGATAATTACTGATGGAAGAGATGTTCCATTTAAAAATAATCCTGTTGGATATTGATTTTGGATGTTTTTCAGTTAACATTACAGTTGGCAGGTATCATTAAGGCTACATCATTACTTTGAAGTCCAGAGTAGTAATTATATGCATGTCATTATGAACATCTTATTGAGAACCTGTCTTATAACACACCACCATAAAATTTGCCTAGCCACAGATTGATGTGATATTCTTAGAGGACAGTGTTCACAGATCCAAGTGTAAATTATCCTAGCTTTCCTAGTGGTTTAGAAGTTTCAAATGTTAATTAAGTCACTGTTGTTGCCAGAAAAGATCACTTACAAGGAATTTACGTAATCATCTTTTTGGTTGGTCTCATGTGTAAGGTTTCTTATAATAAATACCCTGATGACAGTCACAGATGTACATAAAATGAGCATTCTCATTGATTTCTCTTATCAGTTTAGCATCTTTTTATTCTGAATATGGATTTTGGAAGCAAGCAGCGACATATTTAACAGAAGTCCCATCAAATTATGTTTTAAGCATTTGTGATGATTTGTGTGTATATTTAGTATTCTCTGTTGTTTATTCTAGCTGATTCCACTGGCACCCATTCTTTGTATGCCACCTATGCCAACAATGAAGTGATGTTTCATGTGTCCACCTTTCTGCCATACACACCAAATAACAGACAGCAGGTTAGTATATGCGGAGTCTTGGTAGGGTATATATGAATCAGTGAAGGGCATTAATGACTGTAGAGGATATTAATGATGAATGTTGAGAATAAAGAAGTTGGTATAACTTTTAGTGGTTTGTAGGAACAATGCATGGGGGCTTAAGGGATTCATTGACAAGGTATAGATGTTTCTGTATGTTGTACGACTTGTGCCTTTAATTGAATTTATCAGTTAGAGGTGTTTCTTACAATAGTGCAGTTTTTGATGAATTTTACTTGAGTTAAATTTCTCTCTGGGCTTGTTTTGTAGAAAGTTTTCTTAAATTTCAATTCATCAGTTGGTTTAGCACATACTTAAAAAAGACAACCGTTTGCTTATTTTCAGTGGACACATTTCAGTGAATCAGAATCCTTGACAAAATGTTAAATAAAGAGATTTTCATTATTTCACATAAGAATAATTGATTTTCATAAACACATACACAGACACACACACACATAGAGAGAGGAGACTGAGAGAGATTAAGTGGCTTATCATATTGATTTTGGGTTCATGTAGTGCACATTTAAGGTATTGGTTTCTTCTCTGTTTGTCAACCACTTTAAACTGTGAGGTCCATGACATCTTGGAATGAGAAGTCTAATATAGCTCTGAAAAAAAGGTGTAAACGTTTTTTTAGTAATAGAGACACATTAAATGGCAGATGAAACAATGGCAAACATGGTTGTTTCAGAAAGTAACAAAAATAATGACATATGACTCTGGAAAACACTATGATAATGTTCACCTGTATGTTTTCATTATGGCTTAAAATGTAAAAATGATACAAATATAAAACAACTAAACTATACCTGCAACCTCATGAAAAATTGACAGAAAAAAAAACAAAATGTGAAAAAAGTTGATATTTACTGTATCTTCCAATCCCATTGGGTATTAATGATCGTCAGAAAAGATCATTTAAGTAATTGCTTCAGTCATTTTATGAGATGATTCTAGCTTAAAAGAGCAAGTTTTTACAGTCCTTAAAATGAAGGGTTGTATTGATTTCCCAGGCTGCACATGGTGCCATGTGGCAGCACAGTTTGCAAAGCCCTCATTACATTCATTATTTTCACTGAAGTTCAAGATGTAAGCAAATCCAGGCTCTCAAGTTATGAGCTTTTGGAATGCCTTAACTACTTGAACTTTGTGCACAGATGCTTGTTGGTTATCATATTCTTGACTGGGGATGTTTATAATGATGTATATATACCTAGACATTCCACACTCTCTGAAAGGAAATGCTGTCATTTAAGCCTTTGCAAGTAGACACAACATGGGGGATCTGCTTTATATACACACTTACTTTGATGCAGATATACCCATGATGCATGTGGATTTCATTTTTGTCCATTAGTTGAACAAAGAGAAGTCAGATATTATTTGTGGTACTTGTTTGATTTTGTTTGAATGAATGTTTCCAATGGAAAAATTGTTAGTCAGTAGAATGAGACAGACAAGATCAGTTATTATCAATAAGGAAGAGTATAACAGTTTTTTCAGCTGCTGTCCATGATTGTTTATTTATTTATTTATTATTCAGTGCCCGAAAACCTATTTTTTCTATATACCATATAGCTAAGCTGACAGATGTTGTCTCTTAGATAGCAATTCCTCTTAAAAAAAAACAATCTTTCTTATTGTAATGATAAAAATAATGATGCTGATGAACATTTATGTAAATGGCACTTTATACCATTAACAATAATGATCTTTTATTTATTATCATCATTTCAGTTGCTGAGGAAGCGCCACATTGGCAACGACATAGTCACCATAGTGTTTCAGGAACCAGGTGCCCTCCCCTTTACTCCCAAGACAGTCCGCTCCCACTTCCAACATGTCTTCATACTGGTGCAGGTGTACAATCCTAACACTGATCATGTCAGATACAGGTAGGAGAATACTGGGGGATGGCTTCATAGGCGTCATATGTTAGTGTCAATTATTATAAGTGGTGTCTAGACTTTTTCTGGTATGTTAAGTTGAAAAAATTGAGATTTAGTCCACAGCTCAGTTGGCTATGGTTGTATAAGCTTAAGAATTATAAGGTAAAGAAGTATAAGCTAAGCCAAGGAATTCTAAGCCAACAAAATCAATGTAAGTGAGGAAATTATTTTAATAATTATGGGCCTGCGAGGCATATTTTTAATTCATGCCAACTTTCCTGAAATGTAGAAGTTGCATTCCACATGTAATATTACATAGATTTTATCTTGGGAATTTTATGCAGATAACCAACTACAGTAATGTCCCATTGCACCTGCAACAGTTACATTGCATTACTGGTTATAGTTTAATGGGCTGTCTGCATGTTGGTGTGATTTAGACCCAGCCCAGTACAGAATTATATCAGAATGTGCCTGGACATTTTACTGCATTCATTTGAGCCAGGTACATCAGGAGATTTCATTTCAGAGGCATCATTTCTTTCTGTATACTGATATGTAAGTATAGTAATTGTTGGTTTTTCCAGTGTGGCTGTGTCAAGGTCCAAAGATGTGCCTCCATTTGGGCCAGCCATTCCAGAGGGTGCTATCTTTTCTAAATCACAGGAGTTTGCTGACTTCCTGCTTGCCAAAGGTGAGAATTCTATTAGTTTCACCATCTAAATAAAAGGTTTAACAAAAGCCTCATGTTGTATAGAAAAACTGCACATTTAACAAGGAGCTATTTACAGAAAGTGTTAACTATGATCATTTGTGAAACCTATCTCAGGTTGACATTTCATATCTCTAGCCTTGGTGACGATGCTAATATGATGTTTGCAAATAGGCATCTACTCATTCCATAAAACAAACAAACAAATATTCGCAGCACAAAATAAACTGAACCTTATTATCTCTCTATATAAGCACATTTATAGTAAAATGCTATTTTGATGCATGAAAAATGAACATAAAATGTCATCTTCTGTGGAATGGTCAACTCTTTGCAGTTTTCCCCATCTCTGTGCTTACTTGAGAAAACATGAATATAGCAATTATCTTTAAAGCAATAATTGTCTTTTCAATTATACCAATGGCTAAGTGCAGCAGAAAGGCACAAAGGAAATTGCCCCATAGTGATTAAGTCTATAGTAATGAATTAAACATCCATAGCGTGAAGTTCGCTAGGATGTAATGCAGAGCATGGAATTCATTTTGCTATACTTTTTTGCCCCTAATCTTGTTTCATGCTGGTGATGTCTAAGAGGGACAGTTTGCACTTCATTACGAATACGGTTCATGAGTCAAGTTAATGATAATAAAAATGTTGATTGGAACGTGCTGACATGGTAATGCAATTATCTATTTCCTTAATACGGAAATGGGAATCAAAGCCCCCTGTGGACAATTCTTTATTAAAAAATAGATGGGTTTTGTTATTGACAAGGATGGGTCTCCATCTTTATCTGAGGTATTTTTTGTATTTATTGGACGCATTTTTAAATACAATTCACATTTTCTTTCCAGTTATAAATGCAGAAAATGCTGCACACAAATCAGAAAAATTTGTTGCCATGGCAACTCGGACACGACAAGAGTATCTGAAAGACTTAGCAACCAATTACATCAGTACAACAGCCTTAGAGTCCAGTTCCAAACTAAGTAAGTTAGTGGGAATAATTGTGCATACATGTCACATATGAAAAGCAAGGAGTATTTATCATTTATTTGGTTGGTATTTATAGGGCTCTAGATCTGAAAAAAATAATAATTTGTCTTATTTGACAAAAAAAGAGTGATTTGAAACTTACCTTAGTTGTTATCAGGGATATATAAAAGAAGCATTGCTTATATGTTGTAAACTCATAAGGGATACACTTTAAATGTCATCATTAAGTATAGTTTGTCTTATTCATTAAAAAAACTGTATCTCTTGTTAGGCAAGTTTGGTTTGGGCAGTGGAAGGAAGAAAGAACGTGCCAAGCAGAAAGTGGTGCCAGATATTTATGCTAAGGGAGGAGTGGTATGGAGTGTACAGGTAGAGAAATAAAGAAGTCATCTACATCTGTTTTCAGTTTGTAACTGTCAGTGGAATTATAGACATCTGGTGATGATAAAAAATTTGCTATCCTGCATGAGTATATCATGCAGTTTCACTAGAAAGAAGAAAAAATGAAAAAAAAATTAATAATTGTTAATAATTTCTTTTTTTAATTTTGCTCATAAAAACAAGTAGTATCTTCAAGCACCAGCAGAAATGGTGTAATTACAGTGCTTCTGATCTTCAATTCCAGGTTGAAGACTTCAGCCAGAACTCCAACATCAACTGTTTCCTGGCCATAGCTCCAGATAGTGTGGTGGTTATAGAGGAAGAGAGCAAGGATGTCGTGTTCACCATCCCTAGTAAGTCAGTCATTGGCTGGACCACAGGGACTGACAGGTAAGAATTTTTTTTTTAACAAGGGTTTTTTTTTTAGAAAGTGATTAACTATTGAAAAAATAATTGAACAGTGGATTTTGAAACTAGGATTGTAATCTATGTATAAACAGTCCATTGTTTCAGTAAGAAACTACTTATATCACTTAATATACTTAATGTACCAATGTCTTTCTGTACATGATTTAACAGTGGTTTAATAATTTACTATGCTCATAGAGTGTTTTCCATAGCATTCCATTATTTATGTAATAAACCCCGTTTCAGTATAAGAATCTACTATGACCATGGGGAATGTGTCCTTGTCAAGCCCCACGCTGGCTGTGACATCACAGAGGAACTCCAGGAAATCATCAGCAGACTGCAAGTGGTCACTCAGGGAATTGAGGTACCATAGCATATGGAATAAACTTTTTCTTTTTCTTCTAATTTTTTACTTTTTACAAAAGAAATTAATAATAATTCATGAATGATAAATATGTATCTGATTTCTAAACAAAATGTTTTTGAAGCCTGCACCACTGCATTAATTGGTAGCTTGCTTGACTTAGGAATATAAATTTTAATTGATTAACAAATAGACAAAAGATATAAGGATGAAAAAGTTTTCAGTTACCTCCTAATCTGTCCTAATCTCTAAGATTAGTCACATGAACAACAAATTGATGCATCATCCATCATGAAAAGAACCAAGAAATTGGATATTTAGATTAACATTGATTGTCTCATGTGGAAACTGATGCCCTAAAACAAAAATACCTTTCAACAGTAGAACATTCATACAGAAAACCATTACTTATATGATCCACATGTGATTCAATCAAATTAAAACGGCAAATGTATATGACTTAAACTTTGAAAGAAATTAAATTTGACACATACTATACTTAAACAGAAGTCCAATATGGATGGATTTTATTGCCCTAAATGTAATTAGAGATAAGCCAGACAATAAGACATACTTGCTGGGCCTCATTAGACACTTTCTTTATAATGGGTTCTTTGGACTGTGATCTTTATTGGCTATCAGCATATCAATCTTGTGGCCATGACTGGATTGATGAGCCCTGGTTTCTTATAATGTGAAGAGAAAAAAAAACAATTATTTTAAAGCAAAGACAGTTTCACGGTTTCTTGGAAGTCAGGATATAAGAAGGTAATTTGATGATATAGACCCCGTCTTTTGATTTATATTGTATCACGACAAAGAAGCATCTTAAAAGAATAATGAAGTAACCAAAACGGCACTAGCCTGATATAGAAAAGATTTATCACCTATCAGATGAGTGTTGTTTTATAGTGCCCTTAAAGGCAGCTCAAAGAATTATCTTCCACAAATTCACAAGGTGATTGTGCATCAAATTACCTAATCATTGATAAGATTGGGTACTTTAGAGCTGAAGTGGTCGGAAGGTACAAAATTTAATATAAAATTAATTTGATTGCTTTTTGGCATTCATGGGTTATGGTTGCTCTTGGATTTTATATTGCATGATGAACAGCCCCCTTAGGTTGTGCCATACTGAATTTACACTGTGTTATATTACATTATCAAATTGTGCATTTTGTAACACTGTGGGGCACACATCAAAGAGTTCATTTATAAAAGCAATCCACATTAGAGCTTGGCATTTCGCATTTGTGTGCATATCTTAAATGGCCGTCTTGGGACTCATATCAAGGCCTCAAAAATGCAGTTTTCAAAAAAAAAAGAAAATAATAAGATAGGATATTATACATGAAAAAGCATTGGTGAGTGATCATTTGAAATAAGTGCACAGTTAATAGCTTAGTGGAATGTGCAACTTGAAAGAATTTTAATTTAAATTTCACTCTGCAAAAGCCTAAATATTAAATCAATTTATTATTATTAATCAAATTGTTATGAATATACTATCTTAATGTTTAATTCTTTATTTGTTGAATTTTTCTGTCTATTTTAGAGAAGAATATCTCATTAGATTTTTTTAAACAGAATTTAAATGAAAATCTTTTTATGACTTCAGACAGTGGAAATGACATTACGGCGTAATGGCTTGGGCCAGCTAGGCTTTCATGTCCATTATGAAGGGATAGTATCTGATGTAGAACCATACGGATTTGCCTGGCAAGCTGGTTTGAGACAAGGCAGCCGATTGGTTGAGATCTGCAAAGTTGCCACAGCAACACTATCGCATGAACATATGGTAGATCTGTTACGTACCTCGGTGACTGTCAAAGTGGTTGTTATCCCACCATTTGAGGATGGAACTCCAAGAAGGTATGGGTCAATTTACTCAAAGAAGGTTGATTTATCAGAAGCTTTGCTTTCTTCATCCCTCTAGCTTTTAAAATGTGGGTAAGGAAAGGAAAAAAAAGGCATACCAACCTTAAGATTTTAGTAACTTTCAATCATTCATGATTATAATAAAGTGAAATTGCCCTTCATGCTGCTTCACAAAATTGCCTCTTGCACCTAGAGCTTCTGAGGATATAGCATCATTATACCTCAGTGTATATAGTAAAATTTGTTGAATTAGAATCAGTATTTTTAAAACAAAATTTTTTTTTTGGTGCTTCTTTTATCCACACAGTGTAATTTCTGGAACATCTTTCTGGATTATACTTCTCAACAAGTGCTTTATGAACATAGTTAATAGATGTTATGTTTAGCACAAATTAATGCTTTATGTACTGACTGGTAATGCATGAGAAATAAATGTCAAGTGAATTAGCACTCATTATAATGCAATTTAGATTATATGTAACTGAATTATACAAGATTAACAATTGTCATACAATTTCTGTAGCACTTCTTAATTTGTAAAACTAATGTTTCTTTTAACTCATTTATTAGTGTTGACCACTGTCGCAATAAGACTTTGGCTGTCTGCTGAAGTCATGATCTACTTTTCTTTTATATATTTCAAAGTTCACTGGTAATCTTTAAATTGCTCATAGAAATACTTATGTACATATAATTTAACATTTTCAAGAGGAAAACAGCATTAATATATTCCTGTAATGCTTCCATGTTACTTCTGGGTCCACGTGCACTAAATAACTTGGGTTTTGAACTTATTCTGGTTAAACCTGGATTTACATTAACTGTTCAACTGAAAAAATATTCAAAGCTAGTATATTTCTCATATAAAATTTTCTATCCTATGAAGTAAAAAAAAATCTATCATTTGATTACCTATGATTCTACCATACAGTTCTGTCTTACGTAATTTGTGCTTGTGCCACAAAAAAAAAAAAAAAAAAAGCCTGTTAACCAAGTTTAAACTTTGGAAACTGAAATAAAAAAAGCCAAATTTACATGTGCATATTGACCTAGCAGTTATCTATGTAACCCTTTCTTTGCACCCTGATTCTTCTGCTGTTTCTAGAATACCTGAGGACCCTTACTCCAGTCAGTCCTCTCTGAGCTCCCAGCACACTGTCTACTCTGTTGAGCATGCTTATGTAGATGACTCCCTGCCGCCTTCTGTGCGCAGCTCTATGCGTAGTCTGCCTGGCAGCGGGGTTTACAATCCAAGGTGAGAGGGGACACCTTGATGATCAGAGCGTTGTTGTCGGAAGTTTTTTTTTTTTTTTTTTAATCTGCAATAGTGCTATGAGCATTGTGTTTTATGGATGACTCTTTCTTTGTGTACAGTTCTGTGCATTTTGGAAATTGGACAACACGTTAAGAGTTGTAACTGTTTATAAGGGAGTATTAAAATGTATTGCGTGTACAGAGAAATATACTTTGGAAATGTGGAGGAAGTTGGGTGACGTTTGTGATTGCATAGAGTCTGCAGTGAAGATTGTGTGAAGAATGTGTTTGATGGGAAATGAAGTTCCAAAGTATTTGACTTGAAGCCCTTTTAGGTGCAAAGTTCTGTTATAAGAAAAGAGAATTGAAAATATGAATTATTAAGCACATTAACACACCTGAAAATAAAGAAACCAATCGACCAGTAGTTAATGATGAATTGCTTTCCAGCAAAAAAAAAAAAAAAATGTAGAAGAACTTGCAGTCAGTGATTGTAACTGTGTGTCCTCATCAGCTATTTTTCTATTTCTCTAGGTCTGAGTCCAAACTGTCCAACTCTACCAGCCACAGTGGGAGCAACACAAACACCCTGTCTTCTACAGCTAGTTACGGATCTAAAGGCAGAGGATCTAGTGTGGACACTACCCTTCACCAGATGCCTGAACCACAGGGTGAGGAGAACTCCTTTAAATTTTACAGTATAATATTGAACAAAATATTGTATTACTAAGTTATAAATGCTTGATGTCAAAATTTTATAGCACAGACAATTTGAAGTGTGTCCATCTTGGATATTATGTTTGTGTTGCTTCTTTTTCTTTTCAAGTATGGTTCTTTTTGTCAAAATGTAAGAAAATCACATTATATAGTAAAAAAGGTAGTTGAAAGTTTCCTCATCTTAACAGTGCTATTTTGCTAAATATAAAGTGGTTAAAGGACTGTTTTCTTTAATTTTAGTGAAAAATTGGTCCAGCAAGAGCTCATCTCAGCACTCTGGGAGAGACCAAGTAAGAATTTTTGTGTGAACTCCAAGTCAAAACATTTCCAAGCTCTGTTTTTTTTTTTATTTTTTATATTTATTATTGTTTTTATTACTATCATTTTTTAATCCGATTTTTAATAAAAACTCAGTGCCATAAACAAAAATTGGGGGAAATAAAACTGTACTCAGTATTGTCAACTCATCTTGGTCACATATTTTTAAAGAGTCGACTACAATAACAGTTATATTAAACAAGTGTTTTGTGTGGGCATAAACATAACAGACATTGAGTACTTACAATGGATGTTGCATAGCTTTGTCATAGCCATTAGGTAAGCGGTGGACTAGGCATACTGATTACTCTTGATATTCACTGGGAATTCATGTGGGAAGTAAATCACACTCATAATAGTTACAGCTAACATAGCTGAGGTATTGTGTTCACAAATGGATCAACTTAGATCATATATAGGAGATAATCTATGTTGTGAGCAAAAAAAAACTGAGAATCTTTGAATTCATTGTTAAACAATCTAGTTGTCTAGTGATGTGAGTAAAATTGAATTTCCATTTAAGTTATGACATCTTGACTTGAGTCCAATCAAATTGCTCTGGTGTCTTTTACACAGCCGTTGTAATTAAAGTTAGCCTTGTGTTTGCCTCCCCAGCCCATTTAAATAGAACTTGGTAAAGCCATTTTAATTTCACTGGGAACCTGGCCTAAACTATCTGATCTTAGTAGGTGCATTGATAAACATGGACTATGTGATCTGTGTGGAATTGTTATATAGATTTATTTGGTTATTAAGTGTGTGTGTGTCTTTGTGTGTGTGTAGGTGTGTGTATGTCAGAGAGGGAGAGAGGGGGGGGGAGAGGTCAGAATTAAAAATAAATAATAGGTTATCTACTGTGTGAAGTGCCAACTGACAACCCAGTTAAAATGGCTGTAAAACTAGTGTCATGTAAAGGGAGATGAAAACTGGAACTTGCTAACAATATTTAGACTGTGAGATTTGTTGCCTCTGGCACAAGTTAAAGCTTTGTGGCCAGTGATGAAATTCTTTTGATTTGGGGATAATATAAAGCTTACTGAATTTATAACATCTCACTATAAAGATACTAAGTACAATGTTCAATTTAGATGTTGGGAGGGAGGACTTAAGTGTCAAAATCAGGTAAATAACATAAGTTAACCATGTGAAAAATAAATAAATCAATGTAAAAATTTGCAAAGAAGTAAAACAAAGAAAAAAAAACATGAAACAAATTAGTACCAGTTAATCTCTAATACCAAAAACCTCATCATAATGCATTTCCATTTAAGCCAGCCCACTGGGTATTATAGTGTTCAGTCACTTCAGATCTGTCCTTGCTTTTAATGACAGCTGCATATGGAGGACAGCTATTGGGTAAACCATCTATTATATTTGTGCATGTAAAGGTCAGGGATTACATAGCACACCAGGGGCTACACAGCTAGAAATGACCTTGACCAATCTATCACTAAGAGCCTACCTAGATTGTGGCACGTAGGCTACTTTCCTGCTTGCGTCACTTATAAAAGGAAAGAGAAATCCGAGTGATGAGAAACCTCAAGCTTGGACGTCATTAGTAAGGTTTTGATGCAATTTCTATGTTCGAGGGTAATCTTTTCTGACAGGCTAAATTATACCTTGGACAAATAGTCATCTCATGGATGAAGTCTGAAATAGGCAGAAACCATTTAAAGAGTGTGAAGAGTTTTATTAGTACAAATTGAAGCAAGTGCTTGGAGAGATGAGGGTTAGTTCCAACCTTAGCATCCAGACCACATGAACAGAGCAGCTTTGTCATTAGAATTTTTTTTTGTTTTTTGCTATTTTTATTTTTAGGGGTTATTTTGGTTTGAAATAGTGTCAAAGTAAAGTTAAATCCTTAATGTGTAACTTCAACTAGAATTTGTGTAAGGGTGTGCATTTGTGTGTGTGTTGGTGCGAATGCGTGTGGGTGTTAATATGTGTATGATACACGTGTTTGCTTCTTAGACTAGGACTAAGCTTGGATTGTTAGATGCTAAGAAGTGAAACTACACAGGTCATTGATCTCATTTCATGTTTGTGTGCTATTCTGTGGCATTTACGTAATCGGAACCACTATGTTATATCTTATTATTCCAGGGTTTATCACAGAAGACAGGAGACCATGAAGACTGGTATAGGGAGACTGGTTCCACAGGTCTACAGGGCCATCACAATAATAATTACCTGAGTTCAGCTGAGCAGGGCTACAAGGTCCTGACTGCCTCAACCCCAGGGACTGGGTATGTCACTGACACTATTGGTTTTTCTCAGGTCATACTAGAATGTTTGATTTATTTTAAATTTTATTATATATATATATATAGGCATTGTTTATAGGAAAGCAACTTTTAAATCACATGCCATCATTTAGTTATAGGTACAACTTCAAAGTTTCATTTGATTGAAAATCTATAGTCTAGGTAATTAATTGACTAGAGCTACTGCAATGCTGATAATGGAAGATATAATCCTTATTATGATATTTTTGTTTTACATATACCTCTGCTCTAATAATCATTATTATATTTTTATAACAGATTATCTTTAGAGATAATGAAATATTTTATCAGGGATACCTCAGGCCCTAGAATCTTTATTATATATTCCATTGTTTGTATTGCCAGGTTTACCTCCGACCACATGCATCAGAGTAGCTCCACCACCACTCCTGTTCCCTCACAAGATGGCCATGGTGGCAGCAGCAGTGGCAAGCCCAGTCCTGGCACTGGCTCTAACCAAAACCGCTCCCCAGGCCAATCTGGGAGTGACCACCGCCGCATGCTGGCAGCGATCAGTGGCTCTAATCCCTCCATCAGCAGTTCTAATCTCAGTCAGATCAGTGATGTGTCTTCTTTGTCCAGCAACTCATCCCACGCAGGCAGTCGGTCACGCCCACAGCACGGCTCAACTATGGAACTAGCCCCGAGGGATCATGGGAAAGGTAGATGTTATTTGTTGCTTGTGTTTTGATGTTGGCTTATTTGTAAATCATTGTATTTTTAGATTGTTATAATTATTCATTTTCCAATGAAAAAAAGTATCTGTGTATTTTATATATGTTTGTTTTCTTATTTTCAGATGATCGTCGTCAAACTACCCCAGTGATAGGTGGCGCTAAGTCAGCATTCCGTCGCCCATATCTAGACATGTCTCCCATGAGCAGCAACAGCAGTAGTCCCAAGTCTAACAGGTATGCCTAATATACCAAAATTTAATGCATTTAAATGGGGATGCAATTAGCTAATAGATGTCAAATTTGCATAGACATGCTATTTATTGTTTTCAGAGAAGGAAAAATATATTCAGTTTGCATCTAAAATCAAGAGAGCCAGTTGAGTGAAAATCATTGTGTCCTGGAAAAGGGAAAGAAAGAAAAATCAAAATATTTTAACAATCAGTTGGAACTGTATTTTATGTCCAATATAAAGAGCATTGGACTGGAAAAGCTGAGCTGATCATGAGTCTTGCTGACACACAGCCTAGATCAACCTTATGACAGACTTCAGAGTATTTTGAAGTTAGATGTGAAGGTGTCTCCAGGTAGACTGATTTAAAGCAGATCCAGAAATAGTTTTCAGTCAGCCATGATAATGACCTTCAGTAAACTCAGTCATCAAGGATATCAGTCTATAAGATTTAACCTTTACCTTTTACCTTCACTGTTTGGATCTGTTAAATTGGAAGAGGACATTGCCTCAAGAGCGATGTGAAAAAAATTTTTTTTTCTTTTTTTGTCGGAGTGAAATGAAACTATTGATTGAAAGGTGAGATAATCTCAAGGTATTAGCACTAGTCTGGTTTCCAAATGTTGCCAATTTCAAGTATCCATTGTATTCACAAAAAATATGTGGGTTCAGACAAATATATAATTTTGCATGGCCCAGGCATCATTTAAAAAAAGCGATTGACTTAAAAAATTTTTTAGGAATTAGTGGTTGTCATTTGCCATATATATAGCTGAACTGCTGCCACAGGATATTGGATGTCAGAAATTTAAAAAAAATATATAATTTGTTGGTTATTGCTTAAACCAGTTTTTTTTCTCTGATTAATCACAAGAAGGTCTAGTCAAATAGCAAGTATATAATTCAACTGTAGATTATTGATCTCATCTCATCTGTACCTAGACAGGTTTATTAGGTATCACTAGTTCCCAGGGGTCTTGTGCAGTTGACAGTTTTAAATTTATTCTAAAAGCATGGGTGCCTGGATGGCAAAGGTTGCCATGTACATGTAATAGAAGGAATACATTAAAAAGATTGATCCAAGAGTTCAGCTAGGTAAAAATGTCCGACCCAGCAAAGAAATATTTAAACAATCCTTTGAAAATGTGAACACAGAAAGTGCCTTAATGACAACTAGTGTAGTATATTAAGAGAACTACTCTTGCTTCATAATAAGTGAACAATTGACAGTGCTAAAAATTTCCCTAATTTATATAGTATTATTTTCATTACATAAATCATTTAAAAGTAAGAGTTTGAGGGGACCTCATTAGTTGTTTTAATGAAGCCTATTTTGTGGACACTTTGTAAATTTCCCCTGGTGATTCATACACAACATGACCTCAGATTTCTGATACATTATTTAACATGTGTCTCTTTATCTAATTTTGTACATTGTCACAAGGAACAATTTTATCCCATTTCAAACTATGACTTGAAACCAACCATTCTAAAAATAGACAAATATTGACATACATATTGTAGTTCACATAATTGTTGATAGGTTGTTCAATATGAAATTGGTTGTTAAACTGCGTTTTAGATGCGAGAATTTCACGGGGAAGAGAGATAAAAATGGCAAGAGACTAAAGCATTATAGTAATTGTCATCTATTAATTGCCTGATAATGTTTCACGTGTATAGGGGTTGGCATGATGCCAATGAAGTCTTTAGGATATATATTGTAATGGACAGTGGAGCTGTCTATTGGTTTTATAGATCTAATGAATAAATGTACTGGGTTGTTGACAGCAAATCAACTTTTACTGATAAAGATGATTTTTCTGTCTGATTAAAAAAGATTTATCATACGAAACAGTGAGTGGGTTATATGGCATCAGAGAAGGGATAAGATTCTACTTGCCATTCCCACTCCCAGCCCCTCTCTTTGTACATGCTGACATAAATATTCCACTATTTTTATAATTTATTTTCCTAGTTATTTATTGTGTGTGCATAGCTAGGCCAGTGATGCAGGCTGACCACAGGAAATGCACTGAAAATGGAAATTTGTTTCTGGTGTTAGTAGCAGTTGTAATTTCGTATTTATTCATTTATTTTTTTATTTTTTATTTATTTATTATTATTATTTTTAGCATCATTGAAACATTAAAGAACCAGGCAGCACATAATCATTAAAATACTTCCTATGAAGCTCGCACAATTTCTGTTAGATTATAAAAGCTTTAAGGGGTGGAATGATGTGATTTTTTCTTCAGTCAACAGCTAATATTGAGATAGGTTTTACCTCCAATATTTCCAGTGAAGAAAAAATCACATCATTCTTGTAACTTAACACAGCTGATGAAATTCTTCTCTTCTTTAAGGGGTGGAGATCTAATAAAAGAGATGTCAGGTCATTCTATATAAATCAGATTATTATTATTACTTAATTAATTTTTTTATTTTTTATTTATTTATTTATTTATTTATTTATTTTTTTTTTAGAATTTTAGTATGCATTGACTTGTGTGCAAATAGAAATTTGTCATTAACATGCACATTGTATGTCTTGCTTTTATGTGGATATTTACTATTTCAAAGAGAAATGCTGTCTTGAGTGTCTAGACAACCAGATCCAAGGTTGTTTTGTTTACAAGTGCAGTTATATAAATGCAGTTATATAAACAGAAATTCATTAGGGGGGTGTATGTCTTTTCTTTACTTGCTCTACATTATTTCTTGACACACACCTCACCAAGGCAAGAAGCTAGATAAAAAAAGCCTATAGATATAGTCTCAGGTGTATTTTTTTTTTTTCCTGAAAGGGGATTTTGTATCTATTATTCTCTTAACAAATGATAATCTTTGTGTGTTTGTTTGTTTTGTTTTTCTAGAAATGCTCAAGTGCCAGATGATTCCTTCTCAGCACGTTTAAGACCAGGAGTGTCTGCACTGCCACCTAAGGGACTGCCTCCAAAGCCAACCAGCCAATCAACAATGTCATTCCAAGAGGAACTTATGAGGCTCATAGACCCTGATGTATCAGATGCAGAGATTCGTCAAAACAAGGTGGGTTATAAAAAAATTGATAATGTGACCAATTTGGCATAAAAATTATAACAAGATATATGATATCTTTAATCATCTCTCTTGAACTGTGTTATGGGGGATTCATATTAATAAATAGAAGAAGGAAGATAGGATCTTTTTCTTGATTTCTTTCCTGCATTGTTAGACAAAGTTTCTGAATAACATTGTGGTGTACATATGACTGCTTTTGGTTTGTCTCTTATATGTGACCTTATGTTCAACAAAGAGCCTTGAGAATCCATCTGTCACTAGATGCAAAAATAAAGCATGACATTCCTGTTGCTTTTCTGCAATAATGAATGGAGAGACTAAAAACCCACACCAACTATTATTTACTCACATTCAAGGGCACAAATCCTCAGGCTCAGTTTTCAGCCAAGCGCGGAGCCAGGTTACAGCGCACACTGTCGGATGAGAGTTTGGCAGGTGGGGGACCCCCAGTACGTGGCAAGTCTCTACTTCCTATGGACATGCAGCTCGGCAGCGATGTGATCTTCACCACTGCTGTACCAGCTCAGGTGATATCTACCAGGAGGGAGGAACTCTCCAAGGAACAAAGGTGAGACTCCAGGTGTTATGTTAGGTTATATGGGGATGTTGATTCAGACAGACGTATCACTAGAGAGAGACTCAAATCAGAAGAAAGGTAGAAAAATAGAAGGTAATGGAAAATAATAATAATAATAAGGATGGGAACTAACTTTGATTGATGGAAAGAACAATGTTCCTGCACACAATCACATACTGTCTTGATTGATTGTTATAGAAGCAGGAAAAATAAATTCTTAATGAATGAAATGACTTCTGAACTGACATGATACGAAGGTTCACACTGAAAAATGAAAGTTTTAATTCCTTTATTAATGTGCAAACCTTTGTAGGTTATTTAAAGCAAAAAGTTCAGTATTTATAGTAAATTTGTGTAACATTGTAGGTTGTCTCCACGTGCGACCACCAGCTTTCACAAACGAGATGGCCATTCCAGTAACAGCCCCATCCTCCCTCTGCCAGATGCTGCGTCAGGATTGGACTGGAACAACCTAGTAGATGCAGCCAATAAGGCTTTTGAAAGTAAGTGTTGCCAGTTGCATGTATATTTACTAAAGATACACAACTTTATAAGTTGAAATGTCAGTCACCAAATGTTTAGAGGTGTGACAACTCCAAATTAAGGGGGCCATAGGAGAGTTTTTGGGTGAAATAAAAAAATAAGTTCACAAAATTGGCCTGTGATAATTTGCAATGTTCTGTCAATTACTGGTGAGCACTTCATTATATTTATCAAATTTCAAGTCAGAATTACCATATAAGTGTTTATTGCAAATTTTTCTTCACATTGCTTATGGCAAATGAATAGTTACATTCCTTGAGTATTTTGTGTCAATTTTTGAGCAAGAATAGTGGTATTGCATAGTATTACATTATGTACAAGTGAAGAAGCATGCCTTTCATGATCAGTTATTATTATTATTATTATTATTATTATTATTATTATTATTATTATTATTATTATTATTTGTTGTTGTTGTTGTTGTAATATTTAGAAAATGTTCTCATTTTTTCTATCAGTACGATTTTAGACCTATAAAATTCCATGAAATTCTTTAAAATATGATTAGGTCATATGGTATTTGTGTCTTTCCATATGTGTGTATGTTTAAAGGTACATACGAACCGAGCATCGGTGGAGTGTGGATTCCTAGTAACACATGTAAACCACTTCTACTAGATTCTTATATGACTCAAATAAATTTGACGTGTCAAGGGATAAACTAAATAGATCACTCGATCAGCCATAAAAGACCTTTAGACTGCTCCTTTCTTTAAATTTTGGTTGTAAATTTAACCTACTTCCGTGACCTACTTTCCTGCCCCATTGACATACAGCTTAGAATGCCAGCAGAAAAATCTGTTCAAACATCATTTTCGGGTAAAATTAAACAATGCCTTTTGGTAATTCTCTTAGTTATACTACTTGAAACTATATGCTGGCATTTGGTTGGTTTTTGTGACAAAAAAATTGACTTTGTATGCATCTTTAAAGGATCAGTCATTGTTTTTAAACCCACATAGGATTAAGAATAAAATGATCTTGGTGACAATATAGTTAACAGTCATTTTATGCAACCATGCTCCTAAGATGCTGCTTTTGTGTCCAACTCCCAAACCACTATTTGATTGATTCCTAGAAAAGACATACATGCATGATGGGACATCAAGTAAAGGAGGGCTTTATGATACAGCAATTCATAAATGCTGCCAGCTATGCAGGCATGGCATACCGCAAATTTTTTAAAGAAACATGCGGAGGCAGCTTTCACATATTTCATTACTGTCATTGTCTTCAAGCCATGTCACCATCGGGTCTTATATTGACTTGAAACAATCAGACTTGTATCCTGAAGTAGATTATTATTTGCTAAACAACGAATTTGAAATCTCAAGGTTGCACTAGAGTGTCCTTCAGTTTTTGAGTTAGACTATTGTTGCTGCAATTGCTGGCATGGCCATGAATATTGTATCCTACCCTTTTAAGCAAGTCATGAAAGTGTTTGGTTAAGAATATCATAATATACATGTCATTGATAATAAGTTGTGGTAGATGTATGATTCAGTTGCAGGAATTTTTACGATTAAAATAAGAACTTTTATAGTGAAGTATCTGCAGTATGGTTTGTCCCTTTCAACTTTCTTGCTTTTTGCTTTGACATATAAATGACTATTCATATTAAAGATAAAATCAATGGGTTTTTTGACATATGGAAACATATTCATTTAAAAGTACCATAAAATTAAGCATATTTGGCTCAAAGTCTGTCCACTTTTGTCATACTTCATGACCCACATTAAAGAAATAAAAAATCAAGAAAAAAAATATAGCACAGGGACACAAGTCATGTTTTAATAAGCATGGTTGCTTTAAATTTCCCTTCGACCAGACACCTGTAATAAGATAGCTTAATAGGCTGCTTTGAAGTTGAATTGACAAGAAGTATAAGCTGCCCCAGGAATGGCCTTGTACAAATCCAACACAGCTTTTATGTCACAAAGGCCGCCATCATTAAGAGGGTAGGCTGGTTAGAAGACCTGCTTGTTCAGGTGGGCTGGAGTAGGCTTAGAGACTTGTCAAAGCCTCAGCAGCAAGCTATAAGCATTTACTGTAAGCTTCTTACATTTAGTTCAGGTAAAGATTTTGAAACCAAATTATTTACTTAAACTCAGAAGTTGATTTGTGGACCTTGTGTAACTAGTCGTTCATTATGTAGGGCAAAGCAGCGAGGACTTAAAACAGGTAGTATTTTAGGATATAAATATTGAAATGGCAATCTTCACGTTGACAGTTAACAGGACAACTTCATATATGAGGTCTGAACTTTAAGAGTGAAGGTAACAAATTACATGGGTTACAATATTTATACTCACAGGGACTCACCTACAGACACTCTCTCTCTCTCTCATACACACATGCACACACGCACCCGTGCATATGTTAACACAGATACAAGCATGCAGGCGTATCCACATGCACATACATGACATACACCATGGAAATTGTGAAAGTTGTTCATGTAGCACAATCCAGGTCCCCAGAATGGAGCAGATAAGGTCATCTTATGTAACAATGAACAGGTGAAAAACAGGTGGTTTACCTGGTAGACTATATACACAGCTCCTGTTCTGCTAAGTCTGTGTGGGTGGAACAAGTTTAAAGACGAGGCTGTCAAGTAGCAGTGCACTTAAATAGTAGCATGAGGACTTGCCAAACAAAGAGCATGAGTGTGTGTGTGTGTGTGTGTATGTGTGTGTGTGTGTTAAGTTACATAGTAAGAAGTTGCTTAGACGTGCAGTTTACGGGTAGTTCATCATTACAGAATGTATTGATGTCCTTTCAATTAGAGGTAAAGGGAAAGAACAAATGGGGCTCCATTTCTCACTGACAGTTATTTTTAAATCGATTTTTCCAATACATATATTCTTCATTATATTTTTATTAGTATTTCATCTCCGTTTCCTTTACCACACACACTTATTAAGTTGCAGCTGTTCATTTTTTCTCATCATAATTGCGTATGATTTATTTGCATAACATGCGCTAAGGTCAAGGCGACATTCTGTGTCAGATGAGACATTGATCTAATAATAGCTCAAGCTGCCAATACAAATGATGGTGTTCATTGCCAGCTGTGGGCGCCATTTATAGACATGTAGTTTCTCTGTTCTTGGGGACTTTTTTCCTAGATGTCTGTGGGGAAAAAATATTGTTCTAGGTGTTGTTCTAGGACAAAAATGATGCATGTGGCATCTTATTAGTTAGAACATGTATGACAATGCAGGCTTCGTTATTGGGCAATTACGGATAACCCTAGCTGCCATTAGTGTACTTTGTGTTGTTCTACCCTCAAGGTGGCATTACTGTATCTGTGTGCCATGCTGTGAAGCATGTAAAGATATAAATCACATTAATGAAACAGCACTCGACGTTATGTCTGTAGTTACTTAAAGACAGAAAAAGGAATTGCAGCAAGAATTTCAGCATACTTACATAGTGCAGACATTTGATTTTGTCACATTAAGTGAGTAGATGTTTTTATGTAGAAGTTTTGGGAAAACATTCTTGTGTATGTGAGTGGATATTTGGTATAAAATTGGATGCAAGAAGGTACCTTTAAAAGCATGAAAAGGGTGTCTCTTTCATTGTCTTTGTGACAAATTTAGATTATATTTCTGTATTGATCAAAATATGCATTCAAGTGGAGGCAAGCGAGCAACATCACCACACTTTTAGATTAATTCTTTCTGGTATCATTAATTCGTTTAATTAATTATTTTATTTGAATGCTGCTAAACTTTGCTGTTTACAAATTGCAACCTTTTCTCAAGGAAAGTGACTAAAAACAGTGGCACATTAGGACACAGCCAACACATTCCCATACGTGTAAAATATATTCAGCATTTGTAAGCGTTCACCACTTCGGCATTTAAAACCCTCAGTAATATACTGAGGTATTCGACATCCAGTTATAGATTTCCATTGCTTTGATGTGTGTGTGTGTTGAATACCTTGGGACCAGCAGCTGTCACATGCTCAGCTGAACTGGCATGTAGAAAAAGACTAGCTGTACTCTCAGGTATGAAATGTTATTCTACATTTGGTTGGAACAGTTTCCTGGGCAATCATTTGTGAACTGTATATTTGTACATGGAGTGTTGATATAAAATATGTTGTCCTTGGATGTCTTCCTGCTTGTGCCAGCTAGCTTCCAGCAGATGAGTCGAGCTCAGAACATATGGCGCTCCAGCAGCCATTTTCATTGTTGACCAGTTAACAGCTAGGGAATGTTGTCTCATTTAAGTTGCTGTTGGATTTTAATTGGACATCCTTATTTTTTTGTCTTCATGTAAATGTCAATCTACTTCAGTTGAACTGAAGCAGTGAGAAAAGTAATTTGTTTTGTTTACCTGAAGCTGAACATTGGCAATATGTATTTGAACATAGGTATAAGTTTTGGGGCATTATAATTACAATGATATATCATATATACAGTCCAAGTCTGGGTTAATTACTCCTAAATTTGATTTCTATTTTTTATTTGCAGCACTGGATGTCAATAATGACAAGTCAGACAGTGGTGTAGCACTCAGTGATTCAGCAGAGATGCCTGATGACCACGGAGGAGGAGGAGATGCAGGGAGATTGGGAGACAGAGGGCGCTATACATCTCATGACCGGCACCTGCCAAGACAAGCTAACCCAAGGTAACAAGGAGGGAATGATTATGTGGAGATTAGAGCTCTGGTTTCTAAATTTCTACCTGATCAATATGTCATTTTGCCTTTTGCAGCAGAATATTATAAATTGAAACATTAATTGTGGTACATAAAGCTATGTTTTGATAGAACGTTAGTCATACATTTATTAAAGACTCTGGAGTTAAAAAAAATTAACTTGAAGTATGACCAATACTTTGAACTGCCAGAAGAAAAACACTTATTGAATTTATTGACTTATCTAAAATGATTTAAGATCAGTGAAATATGGTTTGAAATTGTTGAAGTTATGAGCACAGAATGATAGAGATAAGATATATGCATTCATGCATGCACACACACACATGCACGCGCGCGCGCACACACACACACACACACACACACACACACACACACACACTTCAAAGGCTCTCTTTGCCACTAAAAATAAAAGATATTTTCATCTGACCAAAAGCTTACCTTTAAGGGAACTACAGATAACTAAATGGCTTTATTATCAAGGAGAACACATATTTGTGACAGGTATTTCTGATTGTTATTACAGCACTCCTTGGCGCCCAGTACCTCCTGCCTCGGCACAGAGGGTACAGGAGCTAGAGGCCAGATGTGTGCAGTTGCAGCAAGAGTTAGACAAGGTAAGCAATATGAAATGAAAGTAAGAAGCATGTTTGTTAAAACTGCCCAAAATTTTCTATTTGCAGCACTGCCTCTTAGGGAAACTATATTATATTTATATATGTAAAATAACTGCTGCAAAGAAGGATTATGATCTTTGACAACAAAATCTTTTGTCCAAGATACTGAAAATTTGTTAAAATTTAGAAATGGGCTTAAAAAATTAGAAGAGCATGCCTGAATCCAATCCTTTAAAAATACAATGAAATACCTCTTCCCAGCTTACAGATTTATTTATTTTTATTACATAAAGAGCATGTTTAAGTTTTGATAAATGTGTGACCCCTGTAAAGCTACTGTGTGGCTACTCTAACTAGTATCTCTTCCAAGTTTACAATATATAAAGCATGGATTTCAGGCAGCTTTGTTAATTTGAAAACATTTTAACATAAACAGTGTAAAGTTAGCATTAACTTTGAAAATAGAATTAATATAGAAAGTAAAAGGTTACTTGAATAAACCCAGTATGCTATTGTTAAGTAACTACCTAAAGGCCTACCCAACTACCAGACTCGGCACATAAGGATCCTGAATTAACTGGTATATCGGACCACACTACCCGTTTTCAAGGTGTGTGTCAGATCGCATTTCGGAGTATCATACCCCAGAACAAATTTTGTAGGACGACTGCGGGCTCATCCACGCTCGGCTGAACAACCTTAAACTGTACTCTTACTTTAGAGTACTCTATTTTATTGTCTCTATGGGGGTATATGGGGACTTTACAACATTCGGTTTGAATGTTTTAACCACTTTTGATAGGGCTTTTTTGCATTGTATTAGATTAATGTGGCAGTCTAAGGTTCATCTAGGTGGCTTTCAAATTTATGCACCCGGTTTTAAAATCATATAGCGATTTTACGACAATTGTTTACTATCCAATCAAGGTGACAGCCGAGCGTGGGCTCATCCTGTCGGTGTTCTGACTGATACTCCGAAAAGCGATCTGACACACACCTTGAAAACGGGTAGTGTGGTCCGATATACCGGTTAATTCAGGATCCTTATGTGCCGAGTCTGGTAGTTGAGTAGGCCTGTACCTAGTCACTCTAATAAGTGTTTGTTTATTCATTGCAGTATTCATTTATGGTTAATTTTGTTTTGATTATTTGATTAGTGTTAATAGAAATGAAAATGCAATTATCCTCAAATGTGGTTAATGAAAATATAAAGCATACTGGCATAGTAGTTAGCATTTACTGTATTGTGTTTCTGGAGTGATCCAACTAGCCTGCAATGCGTCCCTCCTCTCTGTCCCCCTTCCATCTACCACCCCCAGTACCCCACCCCCCACTTCTCTTACTCTTCCTCATTTATTCTAATCTATACAGAGTATGTACTGTGATGTCCTCACTTCTGTTTCAGCCCTAAGATGAGCTGGTATGTCCTGCTTTCTTTAAGTGTGAACCTGTCTTCTCTTTTGTCAGCAACTTGAGCAAACTGTGTGCAATCAAGGTCTATGCTCTATCATTGGGTGCATTTTGTGACATTTGTAGATTCTTAGACATTTGGCATCAACATTTTGTGTTGCTTTCTGTTCTTCATCCATTTTGCATTTTTTAAAAGTTTTACTCAGTAATGGAGATTAAATTGCATGGAATTTAAGTTGTTTTGGAAACTTTGATGATCCTTTATAGTTAGAGGGTCTTTTTTTTTCTACAAATCATCTTGAGTGACACCTAGGTAATATGAAAAGAGGAATTTAAAAAAAAACAAGACAAGAATGTACAAAATTGCTTCACCAGTATGAGCTGACCTTGATTATACCATTTCTTGCTTATAACAGGAAAGAAGAGCAAAACGGGGGTTGGAAAGTGAAATTGAACACCTGAAACAAGAAAATCTACTCCTCCTGAGAGCCCTGTATAACAACGACAGGCGTGGCCAAATGCAACTCTGTCGCTTTGGACTCAGAGGTTCAAACCACCACTTTTGAGAGACAGCTCACTGACACTCACTAACATTTCTTCACTAGGAAACTCAGGGGGGGTTACTACAAGTATTCTTCTCCTCCCCCCCTGGGTTATCATTTACTCTGTATATTTGACTTTTCTCATCTCTTACGCAGGAGAGACAAGATAAAGACGCTCTGCAGATGGAGGTCCAGCAGCTGCGACAAGACAATTTACGCCTTCAGGAAGAATCTCAAACTGCAGCTGCACAGCTACGGAAATTCACAGAATGGTTCTTTAATACCATTGACAGACAGTAACGGAGAGAGAGCGCCATATCACAGTTTTCTACCACTACCTATTATGACAACATGTGTGACTTCAATTTTTTTTTAAATTAAATAGATATAGATGGTATGAATATTTATAAAGAATCCAGCAAAGCGGCAAGTGATGGAGTAGTTTAGAGGACAGCATATTTCTGACTCAAAAAACAATCAAAATTAACTTAAAAAAAAAAAAAAAACTATGACTGATTTGACTAACTTTGCTTAGCCATCAATTAAAATGGTAGTTGCCAGTATACAAGAAGGTGCCAGACATTGTCATTGCAACATACATGACAGTGAACACAATTTGTGCATTTTTGTTGAGACATCAAGATTATGACTATTTTTGTGTGAAATGATGAGTTTCATTACAGGAGTTTATTGCTTATTAATTAAATGTTTGATTAATGTTTTGAGTTTCATTGGTTTTGTGCAAGCTTATTGTTATCATTTTAAAATGTCTCATTTTAAGACATCAGTACATAATTTTTAGACACTGTACACTTGCTAGAACTGAGGATATCATGTTGTAGATTTATTGAAGAATCGCGTTCAATAGTACACCCAGAATCTCAAGTGGTACTCAGCATCATATCATCTTTTTCATTGTGTATATATATTTTTTCATATCAGTCATTGTCTGTGAGGTATTCTGTCAATCTTTATTCACAATATTTAAGAAATCTGAAATCTTTAAGAAGTCAGTGGAATCTTGGTAGATATCAAAGGGTAATGTTGTGTTTTTATTTTTAATTTTTTTTGACATTGGGAATGGGGTATAAACAGATATTTTCTTTTTTAATGTCAGTCAGTGGTTTAAGCATCTTACTTGAATATATACTGTGTACCAAAATAAATTACAGTTGATGGCATTTCATATTTCAAAGCGTTATATAACATGGTCTATTCATTCAAAAAAACTGACACTGCAACTTTTTTGAAAACTTTGAAACATGAAGAATATTATATTTATTCATCCATGTAGATTCTGAAAGTGCTACATGTATTTCTTATAGGGGTGCATTATATATTTGTGAAATATTGCATTCAACAAGCATTCAAATGAATCTTCACCATGCTCATTTGCCACCAAATCTGTACCAAATTGTTTAAGAAACTCTCTTGTTTCAGTGGTTTAGAATTGATTTTCTTAACATGTGTACCTAGAGGGCCATGATACCTGTGCTGCATGACTGACTGATTTCAGATGTGATAGTTGGTGTGTTTACCACCTTTGTATTATACTGTCATATCCCAACTTTCAGGGTAAATATGATAGGAGTTTGGATTGCATATTTAACAAGTAAAAAAATTGAAATTAAAACTGATATGTGACGCTAGATACCTCTAATGGCAGTAGAGTCATTTAATGTAAGGCAGAAGCAGAAATAACAGTTGTATGTGAATGCATGTATCTTAATGGCATTAGGATGGAGTTCCTTTTTTGTATCAAATAAGGAAGTTGTTTGACTGATAAGCATAAAATGGTTTGCATATGCCATGTTTGAACCAGTTTTTTCTTATTTCTAGAAAAAGGTTCGAAATTTGATATCATACATTTATTAAAGTTAAGATAAGTTATTAAATATAGAAAACTCTAGCAAAATCCATTTTTATTGAGTATTTCATGCTAATATTTCACTCCTATGCCTTTTAGATATTTGTCTTCGGTTCTTATTCAGAATATCTTTTATCTTATGAATGGACATCAGTCACAGTGTATCATATCATTTGTAAATTAATTAATTGTGTCAGACTGGGTCAGGATTTGTGTTATCCTCCTCCATAGTACATTAGATCAGGAGGGTTTGTTTGTATTTGTATTTGTGTACAGTCATTTGTATTATTTAGGCAACACTCATTGGTCATGGACGTTGTAAATATGACATCAATCTCCTGAAGCTTCATATCATTGAATAAATTTGTTATTATATCTTGATTATGCATGTTTTGTAAGAGTTGTTTATTTAAAAAATGACATGTAAAATTGTTACAGTGTTGGATGCAAGATTTGTATGAAGAAGAATGGTAAAAGTGGATAGAAAGAGTGATGGTGTCCACGGGATGATGTCTTTTTGTTTCAAGCAACTGTTTATAGCCTTTCTTATTCATTCCCACTCTCCCTTCATCTTGTTCCGTTGGTATGCCAAAATATCGAAAAGCATTGTCAGCCTTTTTGGAATTTGGCCCAAAACAAAACTTTCATAAATGGATTCTGCTGGGAAATTATCTGGCCTTTGCTGGGTCTCCAACAGACCAGGTTCAGTTGAGAAACGGTCATTAATTTGACTTTTTTCACCCTTAGTCATTTATTAACTGGACCCTTACTCATTAATCACAACTTAATGTTTGCTCTTCACAATAAGATACAGTAAAACATCAAAACAACACCAATATATGTATTAGTAGGGGCCTCCATACTTGGTATGTACATTTAGTTCAGACTAAGGGCCCCATTCCCAATGAAACTATTCTTCTAAGGTAGATTAAACTCTGCGGGGACTCTCTCTGAATGAAGTCAGATTGACAGATTAACTCGCCTCCTCCTTGTGTTGAGTAGAATACAGAAAAGCTGATGATTAAACAAGTACGTTGGAAGTAAGTCGCGAATTTCGAGGTAGAGATGTTTTGCAACAATGTGTTGCACTCTCTACAATTTAAAATAGCCTCAATAGATCGGTTAGCATACTTTTCAAAGTAACCATGCTGATCTTGCATATTAAACAATATGGGTCACTGTAGTTTATTTGCAGCACTAGATAACGAAAATATTTCTGAAGGAGTTGGTGGGAGCCTTTTTTTTCCAAGCATGAAAACGTCTTTTCTCGAAATCTTGCATTTTGTATTTAGAGACAAATGAAGGGCGCTTTGTCTGACACGTTGGTCTATGGCATATAATTGGCATCTCTGCTATTAAGCAACAGTGTAATATTTAATGATGCAAATATTCAATAAATAAGGACTGGTCCATCATTCTCTGCATTCCTGCCCCCCCAGTCTATCAGATCATGATGCCTGTGCTTTTACATCACAGCCTGCATTGTGGTAGTTGCGACGGTTGTGATCCTCACAACCTGGTGGAGATCATATCAGTTTTTCAATCAATTATTTCGTTGCTCTTAACATCTTTCTACTTAAAATTGACACCTTTAATTGTCAAAGCTTAACACAATTTCACAAATGAATCACATTTTATAGTCTTACAGATATTTTAATTACGCAAACTAGCAAAACCACAGATATGAGCTGAGATGGCTCTTATTTGCATGATTGTGTTTGCCGCCTGTCTGACTTGGATGTATTTGATCAAAATTTTCATTAACTACGCATCCAATGAGACAATTTACAGCTTTTGGTCAGTAGAATATCGTCAGGGGTTATAATAAAGCAAGGCCATTGCATATATCTTATCTCATACTTTTTTAATAACAAAATATATGCTAAGAAGGCGAATTCCTATTTATAAAAGCTATTATAAGTACCGAAAGACATACTATTTAAAGTGACGCATGTTACGCCTTTCTAGCCAAAGATCTTTTACAACATATGCAATGTGCTTCGCTCCTCCCAGTTTTCAATTTGGTATTTGTGGTAGTATTTTATAAATTGTAATTTGATTTCTGTGCAGTTTTTTTATTACTTAGAGTGCATATCACAAGATAAATCCATCAGTATTGATTCTGTATGAGTTTTGATTATTTGTTTCTTAATATAAACCGTTTTTTGCTTGATTGGGTGCATAGTTGATGAAAATTTGGATTAAATATAGCCAAGTCGGAAAGCCGGCAAACACAATCATGCAAATAAGTGCCATTTCAGTTCATATCTGTGTTTTTGCTAGTTTTCATGATTAACATACCCGCAAGGCTATAAAATGTGATTTATTGGTGAAATGGCGTTAAGCCTTGTTATTTAAAGGCACCAATTCCAAATATAAATATGTTTAAAGCAGTTAAATAATTGATTTAAAAACTGATAAGATCATCTATTAGTTTGTGGAGCACAACCGTCGCAACTACCACAATGCAGGCTGTGGCCTCCCAGTCAACCACCTGTACTGGTCTTGTATTGGTCACAACGATATCTCACAACTAAGACTTCTGGCAAGGGAAACGTTCGTATAACGCCTTTAAGGCCTTTTACATTTAGAGTCTCAATTTTAATTTATCTTAATCTTTCTTTATTCAGGTCACGTGGTGACAATCAATTACACAACTCGTCCTTTAAGGGCGTTTAAAGGCAAGTCGTGTATAGAGGTTATCTATACTATGCAAACCTGCAACCAGTCCAACCCCCCTTTCGTTTCCCCCGCCACACTGTGCGGATCTCGGACAATCGGCCCTTCAGGTCAAACACATACAGAGGCGAGACACCTCTCTCACATCATACTGAACTGAAACAACAGCCGATAATATTGAATACGGCAATAAATAGTTATCTAATATAATTCGAATCAGAATTATAAGACGGACACGTTCTATCACCATTTTCATCTCTTCGCAAACACGTGATAACGCATCAAAGGAACTTTTATACTTCAATCTAAACTCTAACGTCCCAAAAGCAATCTCAAAGCTTTTAACCAGGGGCGCTGTCAAAACACACGTCCCCAGGGGTCCTGTTCTGGATCGTGTTATTTTGATAAGAGTTTAACTAAGTTTAATAGTTTAACTAAGACATGAGCCGGCCACCCCCAAACAACTATGCAAGAAAAACATAGAGATAGGTCTTTTTCTCAAGCACAAAGAATAAATCGAATCAATCATGTGCTACACAATGATAACATGTTCATAATCAGACGTGATTTTCTGCGAGGTAATACGGGTAGTCTAACGGTGTTCTATCTTTTGAAGTAAAATCCACCCATTCTGCCAAGGCGTAGCCTACTTACAAAATTGTCTGATAACAAAAGATGAAATTTGAAAGACTTAAAGCACGTGGAAATACTTATATTACAGTTTTATTTGCATAAGAATACAGTTGTTTATTGTAAACAAAAATTATATTTCAAAACACTAAACGTGTGTATATAAAAGAAATGTTAGAACATTTTATAGTTACTCTTTGAAGCTATACTCTTTTAAACTCTAGAAACGATCAACTTTCAATAAACGTAAGCTCTGAGTATTGAACTGTATATCAATCTTTGTTACATCGCAGAATTGAAGATAACAGGCAATAGTACCTTTAAGAACTATGTTGTTTGTTGTAAGCAAAAATATAGCTACTTTCTAGAATAATAACAATTCAGCACTTTGCATGCCGAGAGTAGGCCGTTGCATGGTAATTACAAAACAGCGTCCTCTAAACCCACAAAAAGATAAATGTGTTTGCTCTATGGGTAGGTGTTACTAGAAATCGATGTTTGACACTTCACATGAAATCGAAGATAAACACAATGAAAAAATTCAAAGATCAGACTGAGAATAATGATTTTCTAATAAAATAGTAATGAAATGCATCATCACGAAAATGAATTAAACGGATTCAATAAAAAAAGTTGTGTGTTAGTGATCAAAAAAAAAAAAGGAATAAAATGCGCACTTATTACAATGCTAATTTTCATTGAAAAAAAAACGAACGTCACCACTTACCTTCAGATCCAATTTGAAACATTTATCACATAGATTCGCCTTCGGCCAAAAGGGTAAATTTCGCAGGCGACGATAAAATATCAAACTAAAAGAATTTATAGAATAAAATATGCAACCTCCGATGCTAATTTAATAAACCTATATAGATGTAAATAACGTGAGCTTCAAAGACAAGACACAAGAATGTTTAAATGTTAAAATGATGTTTGTATGATGTTAGATTAAAATAGAGACAGAAAATCGACAAAACAATGGGCTCTTTCAAAAAATGGTAGAATTTTGCTATATAACGCCATCTTCAGTCTGCGTTCACACAGGAACATACGCAGCTGTTCCTGTGTATCCATATACACATAGACTCATATGTAGTGAATGAAATAATCGAGGTGGGCCAAGCATCTGTCCACCGTATGCATACCTCATTTTCTTGAATGTGCTGTGATTTTTTTCCTCCGTCCGAGTCATATATCACAGAATCGTTTGCATACGTACAGAAAAGATAGCGTTCTTTCCCCACCCCTCGTTAGAAGTCCAAATCACAGTTTATCTTGCTTGCACCATTCATACGGCCTTTTGACCAATGACTAGCGAATTCAAAACAAAACGGGCATCCCTTGCCAAGTCTTTAAATATCGACCCCTTCTACGAAAAAAAAAAACCCCATCAGATCGTGCCCAACACTACTGATTCTATCATGGTCAAAGAATGTCTAAATCTCGATCTTTTATCGGTTTCTGATCTTCGTCGTCTGGGAAGACCTGTGGGTGAACTTCGTTCTTCTTCCCAGATGTCTTTCGCTGTTTGTGGGCGTGTCTACCGCCGTCTGCATGGCCCGGCTCACTAGAATCACTAACAGCTGAATGGTTCTCCTGGTCACCTGACGAACTACTATAACCTGCATTCGTGTAATTTCGGGAGGACTTTATGGCCCCCGTGGCAGGTTTCCTTAACGGGACAGGTCCTTTTTGACCTTGTGTTTTAGGTTTAACTCCCTTGGGCGGCCCCAAGGCAGTGGATGGCATTGGCTGTTCTGACGACGTGTTGGCTGTAGGTGGCGTGTAGTCTGATGATGATTTTGAAGAAACCAGCGCGTGATTTGGAGACTCCACCTCGGATAACGGTTCTTCGCTTATTTTATTCGAACTGCCACACGAACTTAATACACTCGTCCTGTTTGATGAAGGGGTCACGTCCCTCGAAAACATTCTTAAAATATCTCCTATTTGTTCATCGATCCTAGTCATCCGTCTATTTAAAGCCGATATTTCGTCTTTGATCTCTAATTTTATGTCATAAAGTGATCCAATAAGCTGCTGTTCAGACGGAGATAAGCCGTGTAACGGCGGCCCGTGGCCCTCCCGACTGCTTCTCCCAGAGCTGTGGGGGGTGGACTCATCGTTTTCAAACTTATTCAGTTTTTGGTCACTTGTGCTTTGTAGGATCCCACTATCTCTTGAATCCGATTTTTTAAGACTCACTAGCGATTTTCCCTCGTCTCCACCCTCGTGATGTTTATTGGAATTAAACATGGCAAATCGCGGTGCCTTTTTCGGGACTGAAGGTTTAGGTGGGGGTGGCGGAGGGGGGTCGTCATGGACAGGTGGAGTGGACGTTTTACCTGCGTCACCGTTCAACATTCGTTGCCATTTTGATACCTTAGGCACAGGAGGGACTGGGCTTTCTGTGACCGTGATCATTTTTGCTTCGCTCCCAGGCCGACTAGACTGCCCTCTGGGGCTGTTATTCCCTTGTTCTCCGTCGCCATGGGGGTGTTTGTCCCCGATTTTTCGGAACTTCGAGATTAATTTTCGAACTGGATGATTGGACGATATGTCAAAGGAGGGGTCGTTTTTTCTCATTTGTTCTAGTTCTTTTTCTCGTTTGACGTCGACTACTTTGCGAAATATAAGCTGAAATAACAAACGGCGCACGTGAATTATTTAGCAATGGAAGAGCCACTATCGCTATATCAAGAAGGAACACGCACACACACACACACACACACACACACACACACACACACATACACACACACACACGCCTGCATCTGCCTGCATCCTAACACCAAACTTATTTCAATCACCGAGTCCTTAACATGACCATACTCTGAGACCTCACTATCAGTAACTATCCATATTTTCGTTTTAGTGCAATGATTGTTCAGCTTATATGTTATTAGATGCATTAAGAAAAAAATTAATCATTTTAGAATTGGCGAATGAAAGATTTCCGTTATATATAATCATACTTACTCTGTGTCTCAGGTTGTACGTCAGCGTCAGGTTTCTTGCAAACGAAGAGGCAAAGTTTTGGTAGAAGTCGAGAACCTCCAACAATGGCTCTCTCTTTATGATATGAATGTCACAATACGTCAGGCTTCTAACGTTAGCAGCAGACTGCCCAACTGTATGTTCTCTCCAAAAGAAATCTCCAAAAACATCACCTTTACCTAAAAACAAGGAACAGTCGATATGTACGAAAAGGTACATTAGTATCATTCCTTTAAGAGAACATTTTTATGCCCTGAATTTTTTTAATAGTTTTTATTTTGAGGCAAGGTCTGCTGCCCAAGAAAGAACGCTTAGGGCAGCACATGTACAAATTGTACATGTATGTTTCCCTCTATGCAATTTAATTATATAGTTCGAAACCAGTAGTCAGTAATCACACACCTATCCTTCCGATCATGTATAGTTATAGTGTATAGTATGTATACGTCTTCAAGGACAAACCACATTAAGGCATTTCTTTCCTACTACCCTTTTGTTTGAAATTCAGCCAAGATGCTATGACAAAATGTCGTGTCATTGCACTGAGGTTGCTTAATGGAATACAGCCAAGGAAATACGCCATGCGGTGCTCGCTGTTTGCATCGAAATAACACGCAATCACAACACCTGCTCCAACCAACCATATTTAATTCTCAACAAAATATTGACTAGACTCAGAAATCAATGCTTTTAATATGACTTTGGCAGCCTATGTTGTACCTTCATAATTTAAGCTATAAATCAGAGATCGTCTCTGAGAATAATTTAATATATAACTGTGGATGGAGATAGGTTTACATAACGGAATAGGGGGTTAGCGAGCCCGCTTTTCTGGAACCTATACAGAAGCCAATTGTGTTTCGGTCTTGAAATAAAGCACCAGAACCCTATGAGTGAATGACTTTTTATCGTGTAACGGCATTCGGAAAGCAAGCAGACTTGTATCACCGTTTCTTTTAAGATAAATGGAATGGAATGACTGTGATGAAAGTCCAAAGAAATAAAATATACACGCAATACATCGCACTTACGTTATGCACTGGCTGAGAAACCGATGGGAAAGGTATATGTACAAATAAACAATAGTAATAGACTGAATAAAAGCATAAATTGTATTAAAATTATAAATCACTGTCTAGCTAATCTGATCAATTTATCCAAAACCTTGTAAACCGTTTTGAAACATCCAAGGTCAACCCTCAGTGTCAGCATTAAAAGAAAAATGTATTGTCAAAAAATACATACTCAAAATAGCAACCACTTCATCGTCCTGAATAACCTCTAAGGAACCACTGACAATAAAGCAGAGTTGGTCCAAAGACTCCCCCTGGTGGTAGATTGTATCCCCCGGGGCGCTGTGCTGCATACTAAAATGTACGGCCAATGCACGTAGACAGCCGTCACTTGCCAGACGGAAAGCGGAATGCTCGTTGAAGACATTTCTGTTGAGATGGACGCAGATATCAGCTTTCATGTCCTTCGGACAGTAGTTTAAAACCTAATATAAATAAATGGAGGAGATACAATTAAAGAAGAATAAAGCCTTCGTCGATTTTTATATGTATATAACTGTAAAGCTAACACGACTGTAGGCTTTCAAACGATGTATTAGCTATTTTGACATATGAAAATAGTAAAAAGAAAACTGAAAATAAATGCCTTGCGATGGAAATTTTTTAAAGCACGTCAATTATAAACCTGCCGTTTTTGTTAGAAACCATTTAGGTGAAATCGGTCTGAAAATACCCTTTATTTTAACTTCTATTAATATGATGAGAGGTAAAAGTTAAAGTTTGCATCCCTTTGGCAAGAGTTTCCAGTCTAGAAAGAAAGACAATCGACGAAACAGTGAACATTTGAATGATTTCGAATTTTAAATGAATTATTTTGTGCTAAAGTTACAGGATACGTTGGGTCTCATATCCTTTGGGAAGCAGCATGATACTTACTAATATCTCATACAGAAGAAATCCGTTACAAGAAAATATTCTCACTTAAAAAATATCCGTAAAGGTTGCATCAAATATCAACTGTTATTGACTCTGAATTGTGGTTGAATAACCTGACGCAAAGGTATGCTATCAATAAGCAAAAATTCAAAGAAATCCATTGAATATTCATTGAATTAACAATAGGAAGTTGCCTGAAGGAAATATCATATCTTTTGAAATAGCAGGAGTTTTGTGAACTGAACTGTAAATCCGCCAGTTTCAATAGGCCTGCCATTTTACATTGCAAAAGTGAAGCGAACCTCCTTTTGCTTTTTGAAATAGGACATGAATACAAAAACAGATCATCGAATTACAACATCGAAAGTGTCGTTCGCTGTCCATTTTCTGCTTTCTCTTTATTCATGAACTGTTAATACCGACTATTTTGATAGTTATAAGGTTCGAAACATTAAAGTTAACCTTGCATCTATGTAAGGTAATTATTGCGCCCCCCCTCCGCCCCTCATTAGCGTTTGAAACAAAGTATAACTTGCACTCATCACAATGTAAAGCATTTGCTAAAGAAGGAAATGTTAATGTTATTTTTACCAGATGTTCTTATATGATGTCAGCCCTTAATTACCTTTGCTGTATCAATGCCCTTTGTTACAGCCCAGGTGGATACGACGTAATCCATTACGCGTTCTCCGAGAGCCTTAGGAACATCATGGAGTTTCATAAATTCTCGAACGCTATTCAGCATCTCGTGATAGCGCGCTGTAGATGAAGTGATTTGTTGAAAGATGGTGGTGACATTTCCAAAAATGGTTGCATAGAGTAATGCTGAAAAAAAGGAAAATATACGCATGGGAATGATATACGATACCATGCTAAATCGAAAAAAATGTGATAGTCACAACGTTTTAAAATGTTATGTAAATGTCTTTATCTTCGAAAATTAATAAAATCATTTATACTATTCGAAGATTTCAAATGTAAAATCCAGTTTTTTAAACGACGTTGATGTCCTAATGTGCCCTGTCAACCCGTGCTGCATGCCATAATTATACCTCACTGGAACTAGTGATTTATGTTCGCTATGCGTGACTAAATTAAAAAATACAAGTTACCCTTAAAATTGGTAGATTTTTGATACAATAGAATTGATATTTGAAAACAATAGAATGTCAATGTACTTCATCAATGAACAGGTTCCAAACCCTTTTATCTAGCACTTAAAATAGACCACTAATAAGTGCATCTCAACTTACATTCCGCTAAAAGGACAATGATTCTACTCATGAATACCACTTCAATTACAGGAAAATTTAAGAAAAAGTCACAGGTCTTGTCTTATTCAGAAATTTTCTTTGATTTGTAACATAATGGGAAAATCGTGTCACCTTTTAAGAAGCTAGGTGGTATTTCCTCTACTTAATCGCGGTAGGTATCCAACAGTATTTTCTTGAAATAAATGAGGCCAACGCTGGGCCGCGTAAGAGTGTTGATTATTCACTTCAATGTGCTGAATCTTGGTGTTTGGAAGCACGTTGAGATTACCCGAGTTTACCCGTTATCTAATGTCATTCTTGACAAAATAAAATAAGATTGACATTCCATATTACACGTAACTGGAGAAGGCGAAAATGAGTTTCCTTCGAGGCAACAGAAATGTAAACAATTGTCTCTTTGACGAGACACATACAAAGCTTGTTATTGCTTAAATGAAACACAAGGGCATAATTCGAGCTTGGGTGTCTTATTTTAATACTTATTTATTTGTTTGTTTGTTTGTTTGTTTGTTTGCTTGTTTCCACGCTGAACTCTTTTCATGCAAAGTGTATATTACTGGTAGGATGTCAGAGAATTCAAAATGAACTTATTTCTGGGTCGCATTGCAAAAAAATATCATTGTAGAAATCAACCAAATCATAAGTGTAGCGTGAGTATCTTCCGACCATAAATCTGCCTTATTACCATCATTGCCTGGTGACGGTTTCAGGCCCATGTTTGAACTTCCGTAGTGCTCACAGAAAAGTCTATGATAGAGAATTCCTGTGGGAAGTAACTTAATCAATTTTAAGTGCCGCATAAGAGGGAACCGATGGTCAGAGAACAAGTGTTGGCAATCGTGTTGACAGGTCCCCAGTGTCGTGCCGGTGAAAGGCAGCAGTGGAGGGAATTGCTACATAGACAAGCCGGAATGAAACCCTTGTTACTGTTGGTATCCGCGCAATTAGTGTATATTGCAATCGAAATAACGTCAGGCTTATATACAGCAAACAATTAATACCGTTGGCAACGTGTGTCTATGGTTTTATTCTATGCAGGGATTGCGAAACTGAGAATTGTAATCAAATATAGAAGATGGCGGAAGCCAATTATCTATATTTTTAAGAGAAGGAAGTTGTAAACTTAAGATAAGCTCATTTTGAAACGTGTAGGCCTATATGTTTTATATGCGTTGGGATATTTTTATAAGCTAAAATATGCTACTGTAATGTAATTGTAGATGTTTAATATGGAACACAGACGTCAACCATCCTCAAAGCATTTTCGTTATATCCCATGTTGCGTAAGAACCGCAATAGAGAATGCGGGAATAAGAATACACCTTAAAAGTTAGAATTTCTACCCAAAGACCGATCTTTTTTATTCTAAAAGGCATTACCACTACCAGTTTTATCTTGTTTTTAAGAATATCAGTCCTTGAACTAGAATTAACCTGTTAGAAAGGATAAATAGATTTCTTTATGTACTGGATTTGCATTGTAAACGTTTTCGCCCTTCATTGACCCTTATTAGAGTGCAATACGTAGACGTTTTTCACATAGACGACCATGTGTCAGCAGCATGTAGACTAAGACTTTCACTAATGATCTTCCACCGGCTTTCTGACCTTTGCATGTCTTTTGTAGGTCCATTGTATACTCTGCCATTTGCAATATGTTAAAATGATATATCTTTCTTTTCTAAGAATAAAAACAATCACTAACTGAAAGCGAAACCTATTGGAAGACGTGAACTATTGATTGTGAGTGGAACATGTACCGGAAGTGGTAGGCTATGATCTCAGACTTATGCAACAGGTGTTATACAATGCTTTTTGCTTAGCCCCCTCCCCCCTTTCATTTAGAAAACAATTAATACACGAAGATTTAGGTCTCATGCGCCACTTTGTAACATAAAATCAAGGAATAAAATATATATAACGTCCAAAATATTTGGATGCTTCCTTAAGTAACATCTTTGACTCCTATCGTCAATAATGTAACACACACACACACACATATATATATATATATGAACTGGTTGATATAACTTTAAAAAGAGAAAAAAGAGTCTCTTAAAATATTCTGATATCAAGTTATGGTCGTATACTTACATCCAGCGATCATCATGAGGATGGTAAACCCTTTCTCCAGCATAGTGTTTGCTGCTACATTGCCAAATCCAACACTGGTCATGCACGACAGCGTGAAATACAGGGCAGTGACGTAGCTCATATCTTTGCTCGGTCCTCCCTCAAACTCACCGGTAGAGTTAGTCTGATAGAACGGCTGCTGGGTTCTGTTGGCCAACAACTGAAGCCATCCGAAAGCCAGGCCACTCTGGACCTCCGTCATGCCTATACTGTACCAGAGACAGGCGAACCAGTGGGCCACCAGGACAAAGCAGAATACCAAGATTACCAGGACTGCTGCTCCATATTCTAAGTAGTGGTCCAATTTACGAACTACCCGCCCCAACCGAAGGAGGCGAACCACTTTTAAGGCACTGAATATACTGCTGATGCTCTGGAAGTGAAGTTTGATATAATAGACTTCTGGACATATTAGAATGGGTTTTGTATTTTGTAATACATTTAAAGTTTGCAAATCATCGTGTTTATGATATTAATCTATGGATTTTAAAATTATCTAAAAAAAAAAGCGAAATGTTTTTCATTATTGAAATATCAACGATTAAAAATATTCTGTTACATTACACTTATTTCAAACCAAACTTCCAACTGGCAACTTACTTCATCTACGTGTTGGAATGCATTAAAGACATCATACGGGAGACAGGAGAGGAGATCTATAACAAACCAGCTTTTCAAATAGTTCATTCGTATTATTTTTGGATCGGACACTATTTCTCCCCCAGGGCCAACAAATGTTGTATGGAAATTGAGTATGATATCAACGAAAAACACCACATCCACTATACTGTCCACCACGAGCAATCCCACGCCGTCCATAGTTTTACTCCTAAATGCCACGTTATAAGGAACCATTACGGCCGTGTAGAACGTCAATATTAAAATAATCCAATCCCACGTGGCTTTGAATGCACAGTAGTGAAGTATGATGTGTGGTGGGGTCTTGGGGGCTTCTTGGCGGTATTGAGGTAGGATGTCAGCATTAAAGTTCATTATCTGAAAGTTAAAAAAAAGAAAAGTGCGGTTTGTACATGATAGGGCATAGGTTAACCGTGTCAACATAATGATACGTATTGTTTTAATTAAACGGATGATTATAATGGTGGAAAGCAGAGTAATACCAGCACAGCATGAATAGTAGGAAACAGAACATTTGCGTGGTCACGAGGCAGTAAGCCTCGTGGAAAATACAAATCATGTGAGATTTATAAATGTAATTATGAAGACATTTGTTGTTACGTTTTTCGCAATCTCGAGTGTCGGCTTTTGTTTTTTTTTTTTTTGTTTTTGTAACACAACCACTTCTCCAGTGCGGTTTCCAATAACTGCACCACAAAAGGGATATTGCTTATTTAGCGGTGACTCCAAGACTGAAACCCGAGATGCATCTAAGAGGCTTCTTACCGATGTCGGTTAAGAATGTTTTCATTAAAAATCATTAACGGAAAGTAACAAGGAAATATGGGGTTTACAAATGAACGATATATTTTTGGGAGCTTGAAGTTTCCTTGCAGTAATGAGAAAGGATATCCCTACATTAAAATTATTTCTAAACAACAAGGGAATACAACAAGAAGCGGTATGATTTATAAATGACGGGAAGTGTGTTATTACTCACTTATCCACCATTAGTATATCCCGTTTATCAACACAGAACGTTACGCAGACTGACACATTTGCCCAGTAATTTCCTAGGGGATGTCGTCTGAGCCTAAACACACACAGCTTATGTGTGACTAAGGAGCACATACACAAAGGAATTATAAATCACTATTTAACCAAAATTGTTTAAAGGGAACAGTCAATAATTTTCTCCATTTATCTGTCATATTTAAGTTCCAGCAAAAGCAGATAAAAACCGGAAAGTTGACACTGGAGAGTAAAGAATGCAGGTATTCCGGAGTTCATTAGGCAATGCTTTCTTTGAAGTCAAGCATTGAAATCTGTCATGCAAAAGACTTTTTAAAAACGATCTCCATTCTTTTGATGCCTAATGGAATTCTCCATCTCTGTAAAGAAACTTCCGGTGACATGGGTAGATAATGGGCTCAGTAAACCCAGCAGCGATGTATGCCTTTTGGTGTGTATATGAACACCCTGCGTTTCTGGCAACCATTTACCTTCATACTCGCTGGAGGTGTATGGAATCGACTTTCAAACTGAATGGAAGAAAACCAAGAGTAACCACGTTTTAGTTACCAGGAATTAACGGTAGCACGCCTTTCCATTAGAGATATTGATTTTCAAAATTAACATCAGCAATATCTATTGTGTTGACGAAATTATCAAGCGCTTAGGTGACACCTAGTCTTCCCATTAAATGAAGTTCTCGTATCACTTGTGTATTTGTTTCCAGTATAAGTCAAAACTTAATTGAATATTACTTTGATCCACACCTTTGTAGTAATTCAAGTGATGCATTAAGCTCTGCAGAACGTCGTGCTCAAGTCTAAATTACACAGTCAGCTAAGTCATTATGTCTGAAACTGAATATTTCGACTGACTGAATCCAACAGATCCAAAATAAAACTTACTGCGTTGTTGGTTGTATGTGTTTTGTTCCTTGTTAAGAAATACGTAACGTTATTTTCCCTTGTTAGGAAAAACAGATCCAAAATATGGATTAAGGGGTATTTTTTCATCCAGTTATCTGCCGTGTCTATTATAGCCTCAGTTTTATTTCTGATAAATGACCTCATCCTCCCCTTCTTCCATACTTTAGTCAACTACAGTTAAATGTTTTCAGATTATTATGGAATATCGATATCGGAATAATTTGTTTGTTTTGACAAATATACGATTTGAGGTTTAAATAAGAGCTCTTTGTAGAAAATTTATAAGTGAAATTACACAGTTATTAGGATCCCAGCCTCATATTCTGAGAATTTTTCATGGGTGACTTGTAAACCAGGTCAGTCCAGCAACCATTTTAAACTACGAGTCGATTGTAGAAAATTCTAGTTCTAGAAAAGCAACTGTTTATTGAAATGATCTTAAATTTGTTGAATATGGGTTATTTACAATGTTCATATTCCCAATTTTATTTAAATTTTATAATTTAACATTTATAACAATACATTCCAAAATGAGTAGGATAACAAGCCAATTCAAACCAATTCAAAGCGTCATTTTCCTAATATCCCCCCTCCCCAAAAATCATTTTTCATCCGTTTGGGCTTCTCAGGCAATTTTCCATGAAAATGAGTCCTGTTGGATACTTTTCATCATATTAGCACAAGAAAGATTAATAAAAAAAACCCTGAAAAATCTTACAGCTCTCATGTTAAACAATTGTTCAAAACATGTGGCAGAGGCTTGAACTAGACTAACTATTGAACCATCTCTTGTTTACTGGGAGGCGCAACGTTTGCCAGCGTTAATAAGGCGACCTTAAACTTGAACAGATTTCCAGACCAATGACTTAATGGCATATTGCCTTTAAATGGTGGGTTAAACAACCATTGTCAGTTTGATCCCTTGCCTGACGTTGCATGCAGTTGTCATGGTAACTGACAAGTGTACAGTGATAACTAAGATTTTTCCGTGTGTATTGACTTACAGCAGACAAACCAATGTTACGTGTCTTAAGCTTATACACCTTGGCACACCGCATCAATAATTTCATTATTCCACATGATGAATCGGCTTTTCGGTACCTTGAATCAGACACGCGTCTCGGGAGGCATTTAAGCTTTTGCGTTTTTGGAATTGGACGGGGACTTTGTTTTTGACGATGTTACATTTGATTTATCAATAATAAAATAATAATAGACTGCTGTCGTTTGAAACCTTGTTTTAAACCTCACATCACCAGTCTTCGGACGACTATTGCAACAAGTGTTTACCTCTTTTACTTGTTGCTTCATGTATATTTACTAGATTTTTTATTTCAAACGCGGGGTTTAAAGGACAAAAGCGTCATAGTTAACTCTACAATTGGAATTTATACACAAATCACTATACACTCTCTCTCTCTCTCTCTCTCTCTGAGTGTGTGTGTGTGTGTGTGTGTGTGTGTGTGTTACAAAATTTGAAAAATGTTATCTGCACAAGTATAGCACAAGTAGATCTAACTAAACTGCAATCAAATAGAGCAGCTACATGTTTACCCCTGCCAGATCATTTCATCAACCCCCTGTTGCGGAAACCACGATTGTAACATAAGAATCATTTTAAACAATAAGAAAGATAGTACTTACGTGCGCCAAAGAAAAGGGTCTGTTGTTGTCTTGAGGAATTTTCGAGGTGGTAGCAGGGGCTTGCAGCTGGTTCGAATACTGCAGTACAACAGATTTATTTCTTGTAACTGACCGAGCAAGTCTGGCAAACTTACTCAACCCTGAAAAATATGACAGTACGTTTTGATAATTGACAAACTGTGTTAAACCTATGATTCCTCTAAAATAGATGCAACATGTGTTTCATTAAAATCAATTAAAAAAAACTTGATTACGTTTTGCCACAGGATATCGCTTTAAAATGATCCATGGGTTCGAACATTTCCAGTTTTCTTAAAGAACACAACCAGCGCATGTTGTTATCGTTTGGCGTTCAAATTAAATTGAATTCAGTATCCAAGCTGTGTAATTTAGTCAGCGATTAATGTAAAGAAACTACTTGTCTCGGATAAATTACGATAACCACTCAAAATGAAATAACTTGCGTTTTATATGTCCCTTGACACCCATAGATGTCATCGTGAAGGATGGTGACGTAAACACCTCATGTTCAATCAGTATTTTTTCAATTTACTTTTGTACAGAAAAGAACTAATTTCATTGCTAAGTTTCACATTCATTTCTATCCTTACACAAAGGCAATGAGGCGTGAACTGGTGAAAACAGCTCGTGAAAGATTGCTTTCCTTCCATACTTTTAACTGTGCTGTCGTAGAAATGTCACCACAGTTTCTATCTCCACTGCACTTACCCTTTCCGTCGTCTTCGCATATGGGTCGTTTCAAAGCAGTGATGTCCTTGAATGTCAAAAGAAACAATACAACTTGGTCCTTTTCATTTTTGATAGGTGCCACGTGTTCCATGAGCCAAAGTGGTGTCCCTGATAGCAGTGCATGCCCCCCTTAAAGAATAAGGGAGATGGTCAAGACGTAATAAAACATGATTGATCATTTTTGTCCTTTCGCAATATAGTTGTATCTGAGAGTGACGATCTAAAGAAAAACGTTTAGAGGTCACAGAAATAATGTTACAAATTGACTATCAAATTCAAAACACGTCATAGATTGGCAAATATTGAATTAGTTCAATAGGAAAAGGGAATTATTGTCTGAACATTACAGAGATACCAGAAAGACGTAATTAGATTTGCAATTTTAAACTTAGTAGACCAAAGTTCGAAAAAATTGGTTCGATAGTTTCCCACATATTTTCATCGGCATCAAGAAGAACCTTACTGTTCTTTTTATAAAGCAGTATTTCCACTTGGATCTGTTCCCATTCTTCCAGAGCCGTCTGGATTTGGGTAACGGTGTCCGGGTCTGTCCGCTCACCGTGCATGAAAGCACAGTTACAGCTCTTCTGCATAACCTCCGCCCGGGTGTAGCCCGACAGTTTACAGAAACCTTCATTGCAGTAGACAATGGGGTAATCAACAATCTGAGCGTTGGCTAGGAGAAAACTGCTGTCTGTAATAAAGAAAAAAAAAAGCTTGACTACGGAGCTTTGTTAGTATCGTATTAACTTTTTTTATTTTCATTTAAGTTTTATGTTAAGGAATTTTCACCGAGGTGAAAATTATTTCTACCGCGGTGAAAATTATTTTCACCGTGGTGAAAAATAATCTACACCGCGGTGGAAAATAATTTACACCGGGGTGGAAAATAATTTTCACCGCGGTGGTAATTCCTGGCCATCTCGGCCCGGGTAATGCATACATGTAGGTTATACGAATCCAACATTTACCAGATGTCTGGAAAGGACTTTGATAAAGACAAGCACATGCACATGCACGCGGTTTAACCGTCTATGTGCCAATCATCCCAGTAATCTGGAGGAAGCGGGCAGTATTCGAATAGATTAAAAATCACCGAAATGCTGCAATGTTGTACGTGGCTTTTCCCTTTATAATAACTTGTGTATTATTGGGAATATTGGTAGAAAGAAACCTTTCCGAAGAAACCGATATTACATCTATTAAGATAAGATCTAAGAAACACATCACAAATATATTTAACGGCAGTGGCACCACGAACAGATCCACCAACCTTGTGTGTATGTAACAATAGCATGCACCGTGACGGAATCTGGCAAATGTAAGGTTCTCATTACCTATTCATCACCCGGGCCGAGATGGCCAGGAATTACCACCGCGGTGAAAATTATTTTCCACCGCGGTGAAAATTATTTTCCACCGCGGTGAAAATTAATTCCCACCGCGGTGTAAATTATTTTCACCGCGGTGTAAATTATTTTCACCGTGGTGAAAATTATTTTCACCGCGGTGAAAATTCCATAAAATAAAACTTAAATGAAAATAGAAAAAAGTTAATATGATACTAACAAAGCTCCGTACTTGACTGAGGCTGTATATTTGTGTGAGTTTACAAAGCTTGATCACACACACACACACACACACACACACACACACAGGACAAGAAATAGAGAGAAAAAGAGTGAGATGGGTGGAAGGATGGACGGACAGACGTCGGATGACGTACAAATGAATATAGCATATGTATCGATATACGAATCGGCCCTAGTTTGATGGACCGATGAATGGATGAGAGATAATAGGAAAGATGAAGATGGGGAACGTGACAGCAGTGTTATTGGCAGTATATGAAACAAAATCACGCTCATACAGTACGGTCGTGTGTACAAATAAGTTAGATTCAACCCGTGCTTTATATGTTTTTAACATGTGAAGCAGTAAGTTATTTCATTATTCCTGACAGAATATTCTGAGATAAACCATGACTTAAAACACAGTGAATTCACAAATGATCTGTGCGTTTAAATCTCATTGTGATTTATCATCCAATCTCACACCAAGCAGATGCAATCAACGTTGTTTTACTTTCAGTTGCCTCGTGCTGAATGTTTTTTCTACACCTCCGCTAATCAACTGTTAATAAGTTGTCAGGCACGTCAATACTTTATATTCTGTATATTATAGATATTAATATGATTCAATGAAGCCTCTTACCGTTCATGTCTTTTAACCGCAAATAGAGCTCTTATTTCAGCAACAGTCACGTAATGCCATATATACGCTCGCACCTGGTTCTTTGTTATACAGAAACAGAGGAATATCTGCGTTCAGAATCGGTAGATAAAATGAAATCGGTTTAGGCCTAAAATGCTCAGCAGGCAAGCAAATTGATTCTTAAGTGGTTTAAATGTCTGTGCACAGGACAGGATACCAGAGATTTCCACTGTGCCTCAGAAATGATTTTTGATGAATTAGTTTGTTGTTGTTGAGATTGATACTCCATCTTATTTTGATATTCTGTTTGAAAATTGGATAATTAAGAAAACAACAATATCAAAATCCCTGACAACGTGTTTTTTTAATATCTAAGCACAGATGCAGGCATCGAACACAATGAGACTGAAAAACACAAAAGAAATGACAATGTGAAAGGAGTTTTGATAGAATGATATCGTTTGACGAACCTTTTGTTATATTTTGCCGTCAGCACTATAGGATTTGTAATATGGGGATTACTTTACTTGTTCTTTCAATAACAACTTATAAATAATCTCAAGGCAGAAACAAAAATTGTTTTCTAACGACAAAGGCAAATAATATTTTAAATATATTTGGTCACCTCCATTAAAGTCACAAACCAGTTAAGTCGAATGTATTCTTGTTGACATTATTCCGGATTGTCACAAAAATAGAAATATACAAGACTAGCATTTCCGAGAAATCATATATCATCAACTGTACAATAAGTGTGTATATCTGTCTGATCTGCCAGGCGATTATATGGATCACTTTGCGATTATATTGATCCAAGCACTCATATTTATAAGTACCATGTGCCGCAATGACAAGGTATACAAGTATTATACCCACAGAGATCCACAAATTTATTACTTGCAAACAATTGATAGCAGTTCTACAACAACTTAATTTCAAAGATAACTAATTCCATTAGAACCTGGTAACCGTTGTATCTGCGCGTGCGTGCGTGCGCGCCCTTGCGTGTTGGTTTAAACTGCATTTGAGTGAGTGAACATGAGTAAATGTGGTTGGTGTGGTTCTGTGCGCTACACATGACCCTCTGGGTCAACTTTGCCCCATATATCACTTTTTTTATTCTGGTAATAAATGGTGAAATGAATATCAGCGACTTGTTTCTCTCGTACGAACCAGTGCCCTTACACTAAAGGTATTGATTATCCAAAGGATGATGCATATGTCAACGGTTTTATCATGTCAGTGAATGAGCACGTAAACGTTAAACGTCATAAACATGCTACCTTGACATGATGAGTGGCATTAATGGCGAACGCTTTTTATGTATTTATTACTGTGGCATGAATCTCGTTTAAGTACATTCGGCGTTATGGCAGTTGTATTCTGTTTTTAAGGTCTTTGCCCGTTGTCACGGTTTTTGCCAGATATCATATTCTTGAGACATGCTTTGCTTTAGAGATTTTTTAAAAAGATTATTTGCTAGTACCCAGGTTTTTTTTAGATCCATTGATATCGTCCAGAAAGTATTGTACACCGATGTCTTCCTTCGACATCTGCTGCAAGAAGGAATCATCTACAAACCTCCGGGGACTTACAGATTTATGGTTTGTACAACCTGATGACAGAATGCTTGATTTATTGGCAAACGTGATTTTACCAAACCCTTAACTCCAAAGGGATCTGATCTGAAGGCAAATTTAAAGCAACAATCGGACTTTGTTTGGTTCGTACACTGGATGGTTTTAATTGATACAAAAACCGAAGTCAGTGATGCGGAAGCATTCTCCCTTGACATTTATAAATTCACGTAAAGTCTTGTTCAAATGTTCATTCTGGTTAGGTAATTGTCATTTCACAGACCTATATTTCTGAGGGAATTGTATTTCCCGTATCATGATTTTTAAATGCTGTTTATGTTTTTCTAACACATGTTGTTTCTTGTTATGGGGATGTTCTTGGTTATGTCTTTCTACAAACATGTGTGGTCGATTGCATTTAAATTTAGGGAGAGAAGTAATGTGTACAAATTGCAAATCGCATGCCATGCTTTTGGTATGATTGAAAAGTGCTTGGGAGAAAAATGACTTTACATGAAAGACGCATTATGTAATAACTGTAGAAAGCAATTATTTTTCTTCTGGTAGACAAAGACCAACGAGAAACAAAGGCACATGTTTTAAAGTAATTACATTATCAACAATTTCATTAGAATAACCGAGTGAGTGTCCTTCATTTACTCTTTTTCTATGACAACAAGACGATCCAAAGGAAGATTCAATATTTACTGTAATGTTACACCAGGCAACTGGTGTGTCGGTGACGTGAGCAAGATTTTAATCAAATGAAAAAAGAAATAACTGCTGTTAATCTACACATTGGAATCGATTGCTCAAGAGAGCTGTGAATCTCTTGGGAAGGGGGGTGTCTGCATTAAACGGACCGTTTGAAACATATGACTGTCATTAACATAATTCTACCGTAGGAGTTCACTGAGATCCGCAACATTAAGTCCAGTTGTCCTTCCCTACGATATATAGATAGTGATAAAATGGAAGGGCTTGCCCTAAGAAAAAGGTAAATGTGCGCTAGCTCCCTTATAAATGTTATATGACGCATGCTGTGTGAAGAAGTAATTCCGTTTAGTTGATTGGCGGATGGTGTGTTTTTTAAGTATTGGCATCATTTCTGTTCAATTGCCTAGATTAATCTTTAATCCTAGTGATAGCATGGAACAATAACTCTATTATGTACCATTCTACTCCTTGGACGGTAAAACAATTGAGAAACTTTTTTTGCAAATCTCGCTTGTACAGTTTTCATGTTGACTATTGCATCACGAAATCCAGTGATTTCAAGTATGGGTCGCTGAGAATTCCAGGAAATCTCAATAGCTTTTTTGAAATTCCCCAAAAGCTAAACCTAACAAAATCGATGGATTCTTCATATCTTTGTATAACACAAGCACATCTGCTGTTTTGTTTTGGGGTACTGGGAAACCATAATTTAAAAAGACGCCACGGTTGAACAGCGACGTCCCAAAGCTCAAATACACTTTATGAGAATTCTAAGAGAGTGTTTTTCTCCTCGGGAAAATCTACTGTTTGTTTTAAGACCTGCCCAGAATACGGCGTGAAAGCGTGGCACCCTGATTTGGATTTACTAAATGGAAAGTCCAAAATTTTATCCTACCAGAAAATGTTTTTAAAATCTCTTATCTTGAGACTATACAATTAGAAAATCAAGTATCTGTACAAAGCAGTCATAATGAACTCATAATGCTTGAAAGTGTGTGTATAGAAGGACAGGCTAAGCCATTTATTATCAAAAGTGAAAAGAACATTAGTATACCCAAAGACACAATTTTTGATCTATACTCCGAACTGCTAGATCTGCAAAAATTTATCCCTTACAAACTTTAATGTATAATCTAAGTTGATTAAAATTATTTTAGGGAAGTTGATATATTTTGATCACTGAATT